GTCGCTGATGTAACTAACGGAGGGCCCCAGTTTGCTCTGAGGACTGCGATAAACAGAGCCATTGCAGGGGCATTCGCAGGGTGTGGCGAAGGCGCCGTGGCAAGTAATATCATTAACACTACACATCGTTTACAGTGGTGGGATTTTTCTCGAGTGGAGTTGCCCGATTTGAAAAACAGTGAGTATCAGTAATTGTGTTCGTCTCCTTACCTGTTTACACATCCGTAAGCTCTTAAACTGCCAGAAGTGATTAACAATATAATTCAGCAAACAGTTCGGGAGAATACTCAAACCTCCCAGAGCCTTTAGGTGATGATAAGGTACTAAAAACCATTTCTCCCACCTGTAAATGATTTGCAAATGGCGCAGAGGTAGCTAACGGAGCATTATTTCCAGGTGATAGTCACGTGATTGCCCCAAGCTGTAAGATTCACAACGATGCAAGCTGCGACATATCAAGTGATGGAAAACTACTGGCCACCTTCGTGCCTAGTGCCCAGGGCTTCCCTGATGATGGTGTGGTGGCGGTTTATTCCCTTGAGAAAGCTACGCTAGGACAGTGTCTATTCGCAAAGAAATTTGGTGAGGAAATTTTAAGAACTTGGATAAATTTCCTCTACATTATAATTTGCGTTAGAGTTCAGGAACGGGTGGAACGGGAAGTGGTGGGGAGGGTAGGGCAGAGGCACTTGCAGGAAGACCTGGAATACCCCTGAATTTCAGTCAGGATATTTTAGGATCGGAATTAAATTTCCCTACATTATTTGCTGCGTTAGAATTCAAGAACAGACAGAAAAGAGAAAGAGAGGGAGGGGCAGGCGTTCTTGCAGGAAAAAGTGGGAAATCTGTGGGATATCAATGTTGAGAAACTTCGAAATATAATTTTCATTTTTATACTCACCTTTCATTCACTAGAGGTATGAAAATGGTGCCATGCATGTAGGGTGTCTTTTCTTTCGTGCTTTTGGTTGAGTCGTTGTTTTTATGTGTATTTCAGGGCCGAACGCAATCTCCATAAGTCTGTCTCCCCTGAATCGTTACATTATGGTCGGCTTAGCAGCCAGGCGACTTCACTGGCATCTCACATCTAGACAGGTATATCAATTTGTCACGTTAAGTTTGTCACTCAACACAGCGGTCAAACGTAGAGCATGCACCAAGGGGTCAAATTTTGGCCGCCCGCGCGCCAATTTCCCGCACAAATAAGTGAAAGGAAATTAAAACGTTCATTGGAATCTGTAAAAGCAAATAAAAGTAGCGAAGACGAAAACTTCAGCCCTTTCGAACGTAAAAATTATTCATGTACGGGTACCCTGTTGATTTACTATTCTGCTTTGAGCTTTATCAAACTAATTATACGCTTTTAAGAGACCATGATTTTCTGGCATGTGTGGTTGGCTTTTGTAAGACAACCGGGTTCTGACAGCCTCAAAGCACGCCACCCACAGAAGTCACTAAAATGTTTGCACATGCACAGACGTTTGATCGCCTTGTTGTGTTATTCTAAGGCAAGCGCTCAATTGCTAAATTTATTCATTTGTCACACGAACGAAGAAATTGCTCAAAAACAAGTCAAAAATTTTAAAGTTCATGGTCAATTCGAGAAGATTAATTTACAAGTCCCGGTGAAGCAGTTGTTCATATTGACAGTAGCAGCATCATCAGCGGAGTTAGATCTGTTCGAGAGAGACGAGATACAGTTGAGGACTGAGTGCATGTGAAAAGATGGGACTCAAAACTACCCGCTCATTTTTAACGCATCAAATCTGTTTCGTACGTTTCTGTTCTGTTAAAATACCAGAAAAAAAACCTTTCAACAGTTACTAACAACTTTACAACTTTTTGATCCGTAGAAGTGACTAGCGTCTAATTTCTCCTTACATTATCACCCCTGAATCAAACAGTAGGAAACTCTTGATTGTTAAACAAATTCTCCTCGTCATCACTCAAGGAAATGTATAGAGAACAGTATGGAGAATATGCATACTGATGTTAGGGTGTATAGGGTTAATAACTGTGTGCATTAGATAAGGCACACTAGATAAGAGTGAAAGAAATATCCAGCTTGTAGTAATTGAAGTTTGATAATTTTTAACAAAAATTGTTTCAGGTTGTGGCACAAATCTTCCGGCTGACTGGCAAAGAAAGTCCATCAGACGCAGTGAAGGTACTATTCCTAATTTTCCTTTCGCAAAGTTAAGAAAAACGATAGAAAATTTTTTTCCACGGTTGTCGATGAAGAAAGAAAATAACAGACTTTCTAATTGTCACATATGTGTTCGTAATTTTTTAAACAGCCCGTCGTCAGTGTTACGTATGACTGTGACCCTGACCGGCGGAGTCACGTGAGTGTAAATGCAGCGTTCTTCCATCCTCAAGTTGGGAGTGGTTTGGTGTATGGTACAAACAAAGGACATCTGCACATGCGCCAGTTTGGGTAAGACTGTTAGCAATTATATAATTTTTGCCGGGGTTAAACTCTATCACGTTAACATGGTAGAATTTAAACATTTAAGTTCTGAATGAGCGTGAAAATATAGTAGTGACTTTAAGAGACAAATATTTTTTCTTATAAATTTTTTTTTCAGTAGAGTGTCTGTAGAGATCCGGGATTGTTTTGGTTTTGCTTTTCTATGCTCTGTGATTGGACCCGAAACCTCGTGCCGCTTTCTTAACCAATCAGATTCAGAACAAAAACCACTCACGACTTTGTCACTCGCGTTTTCTCTTCAATATAAAATATTTCATCCTCCTCGCACTCATTCCCACATAACAGAGTCCCACAAGAAACTCTTGCTGACCATCACCCAAACAAAAACGCATCTAGTAGTTATGTAGTAATCACAAGAGTGGTCTCGACGATAGTCCCAAATGACACCGTTATTTTGAATTTGTTGTGTTTTAGGCGGCGCAGTTTATCCCGGTGGTCGAGTCTTAAGTCTTGATTTCAAATATTCCCAGTTGCATTTGCTGCAAGAATATGGACGGAAGGCTTTACAAATACCTCTTTTAATGAGGCGATTTCGGTCCCGACGTCGGGAGAAGAATTCCCTCCGTTTTGCACTTTCTCTCGTGGTCCACTGGGACCCAATTGCGACGGAAGGAGGAGAGGTATTGGAACCGAAACGGCGCAGGAAGAGAATGGCTAGCAGTGCTCAAATGTGTAAACATTTGAAACGATATAAATCGCAGAAGTAGCCAGCAGATCACAAGTTCACAGGCGTGAATTTGTAACCCAAAAATGCTAGGATTTCGTCTTTCATGACTGCAAAAGGAAAGTTACATTGTCAAATTGAAACATTTGTACACTTGAACAATAAATTATTGTACATACCGCTTTCGCGCTAGCACTCCGTGCGTGTTAGGAATATGACGTCACCTTCCCTTTCAGTCGTGCCAGCGGTGACTTCTTTGGTGCATAAGAGTATGCGCAGTGTGTAACATTGTACATGATCTCTTCAATGAAAATAAATTATTTTTCCTTACATATCGTTTCTACTTTAGCATGTGTGTATTTGACATTATCAACATGGACGAAACAAGCTGCGAATTTAGTTTTTCTCTTTACGTTTCCCCTATGCGAAACGTTTTTGCGGAACTTAAAGCGAAACGTGACATTTTTCACAACATCGGTTACCGTACAGGCAAAAGGGTCTCGTCTAACCGTCTCCGTGGTCGTTTTTGAGGACGTCACGCAATATTACGTGACACCTTCATGGTTTCTGCGAATGAGGCTCTAACCTCAGTTGTGTTACATATACCACATTTTACAAGCACAGCTTGGTAAATGAACAACGAATTTACATCTATAAATTAATATCTTGATAATACAAGCATCTCACCCAAATGCCTTGTTGCCATGTCCGTTGCTGTCTCGTTTGTTAGGCTTTCTGAAGCCTCTTGAACGTGCTATGGGTTTTGAGTTTCCTCCCAGAAGTTAGGAAATGAAATTAGATTTCGAAAGCGTCAAAATACCCATGGAATACCTGCCAAACGGCTCAGTTCCCACGCACAGCTAGAAAGGAGGTTTACGCTCACTTTTTCGATGAAATTCAATAATTCAAATCTCTACTAACACGAACGTTCAATCTTGGATCCATTTCAAAGCCCGTGTAGAATGCCGGGCCAAACATATGGGGCATGTATTGTCATGCGTGTTGACAAACTATCACAGCCCATGTTTTCTCCATATTTCAAACTGTTGTTGAACATCAATCCAGAACTCGTCATTCAACGTTTAATCTCGCAACGCGCTCTCTCTCCAACAGGGGAGAGGTGGCGTTGTGTGACGAGACCAAATAACGGCTGCGAAGGAGACAAGAGTAAGCGTGACACCAATGTATTTTACTTTTGCCTTAGAAGTTTTTAGGTAATGGAGACAATGGACACAAAATAGCTGTGTGAGTTCGGATAAATTAGATTTTTTTTCTTTCTCCTAAGGTAAAGTAATGCGATATTTTCGTTCTTTTAATAGTTATGCTCTTTTCTGCTACAAAAATAAAAACTTTAGGTACACAAACTGTCCCATCTCAACCCACCCAGCCAAAAAAGTAATTCTTGCATGCATGCTACGCATGCCTATGTTTTCAAATATCTCAGAAACGTTGGGACATATTTGGAGAACCCTGAGTAGAATGTACGTTGTTACTACGGAAGGAAATTTCTGGCCGAAAGCCAAGAAATGAAATCAAGACGAAAATCGGCGAGGAATTCAAAGAGAATCAATTCACTATTGGCAGCTCCGTTAAAAAATAGCCTTTTTCAGGCATTCCGAGTTACTTAAGTGGAGCGAAATGAGCCAACGGCGCAGTAGTAACAGAAGAGTGAAAAGAAGGAAGCAAGTGCCGGGTCGAGTCGCGTGGATCGACCCAAGCCTCCTTCGGGTTTTTCGCTCAGCTGCTTGTATCGCACTATCTTCTATCACGCTTCACTTTACTGAATGAACATCTGAAACACACTTCCTTGAAAAAGTAAAGAGTGTTACAACTTGGAATCCATCTACAAATCCAAATTTTATTGGTCTTTTGGGAAGTCATTTCATATACAACAGCAGTTTAAGTTTTTTTTCCTTAACACTAACGGGCTACAACCAGGGCGTCTACTCAACTGTTCAAGCTTCGGCCTACGTCTTACTCGGCTTTCAGCTACTTAAATTATTAGTTGCTTTATGTCATCAGATGGTCTTCCGCTTCTTTCTCCCTGAAACTAAACAAAAACGCTCATAATTTACAGTTGACTTGGCTCTCTATTTAAGAGGACGATGTTCCCTGAAATTTTTCTTTTAGCGCAAAAGTGGAAGGACTTTGACCCCCAAGAGGGGGCAGACACATTAAGGTCACAAGAGTAAAGGCAATGATCACCAACTAGAGAATTGCTTGATTGTTAAAGAAATTCTCCTTGTTAGCACTTAGGAAATGTATAGAGACCAGTCTGGAGAATATGCATTCTGATGCAGGGGGGTAAAGGATTGAGCCACTCTTTTGACACACGGCTAAATTCCTTAAAAGAAGCGCGGGTTGATGACGAACAATAGATGTCTTGGAGTTTCTTAAAGTTTCGGGGTTTCAATTAAATCTAATTCCTAGTGAAGCACACGTGTTACAATATTTCTAAGGACGGGCCACTTTATCTCAGGGGTGAGTAAAAGTATAAAACTCACTGCCAACAATGTCAAACATGGCAAAGACAGGCTATTCTTCTCCATTTTCTACAAGACATACCTTTGGCTGAATGGGATACCAGTCCATCGCAAGGTTACCCCCACCCCCCCCCCTCCTATATTTCGTCTCTTTGTCAGGTTATCCTGACTGACTCAATTTAACTCCGGGATGAAGAGAGACAATGGCAGGAACTCGAGCCCCGTTCCTAGAAGTAATATTTCAAATCTTATCACATTTTAATCCCGTTCCTGGTATGTTTATTGTTTGAATACCAAAACTGTTCACATCTCGATCTTAAGAGAGACACGGAAGAGGAAAAAGATACTGAGTCTTTCAAGAAAAGGCGCGTGATTTATTCAATCCGAAAACCAGAGCGCTGACCATAACGCTATCGCTTGTCCCTTGGAATAAGAGCTTTCTTTGCATTTGTTGCGCTTTGCTTGTAATGTAAAGGAGTTGAATTAATATTTTCCACTCACCTTTGATTGGTGGCGGGATGGAGTGATTACACAGATCGGTATTGCAACAACAGAAATAATAGGGAGGCGATCTGACTGCCTGAAATTTACATTTTGCCGACGAACAATTATTACCACCCTGGTCGTCTGGGAGCCAGCAGCCTTTAAGGAGCATCTGTGAAGGTTCAAGGTACGATGGCAAAATGCATATTTTTGTTATATCATATTAACCATGTTGAAACGCTAGAGGAAGATTCATGACGCTAAGAGTACCAGAGAGGCTGAAAGACAGACCGACAGACAGACAGGCAAATAGACAGGCACCAGGCAGACAGGCAGACTGACTGACTGACGAAATGACTGACAGGCAGAGGGATAGACGGGTAGGCATATAGACAGACAGACAAGCAGGCAGAGAGACAACCACACAGGCAGACAGTCAGACTAACAGGCAGGAAGGCAGACAGAAAGACAAACCAACAAGTACCTGCGAGGTTTTATTATTATAAAGCGAATAGCAGTAAGATCCGTTTTCGCAAGTTTTCACTACTTCGCAGGAGGTACCATTGCGGCAAGATTTCTTGTGGTTACGGAAGTAACATTGGCGTCCTAAAGGAACAAGGCAAAAAGACAAGGGGAGTGAACATTCTATCATACAACGATATTTTAAACAGAATACCCAGATGTTTTTCTCCCCTCACCCCTAAAAAAGAAGAAAAAAAAATTCCACAAATGGGCCTACGAACTCCTATAATTTCACTGAGACATAAAGTGCATTTTCCGTGAAGAACGCCAAGGAAGAACACAAATCGAGTGCTAGAGGCGCAAGGCGCTCGAGCGGTCTGAGGAAATACTTCCTTTGTCAAAAGTATTTCGTGTCCTAAGAGACAACTTTATGGAGCGTTTTTATGGAGTTGTGAATTGTAAAAGCTGTCCCTCACCAGTCTATCTGGTGACAGCTAGGCCAGTTACACATTGGACAAAATTTGAGCCTTCTTCGTCTCGGGAAGGCGAGCTAGAGCGCTTACATAAGAAAAAGTTGTCCACACCTGTCCCTACCCTCGCCCTTCCGAGTTGTATCACTCCCTCAGTCGAGTTCGTTCTTTTAATGGGAACGGTTGATTTAAAAAGATAACTGAAAAGTTAGCACGGCCAGAGTAACTATGGGGAAGGGTTGTCACGTGTAATCAAGACCATTTAAATGGGCCCTTAGGCTCAGACAAAGGGGTTGCCCGAAAAATGATTTTAAATTACCTGGCGTTTTTTTCTGATTTTGTGAAGGACTCATCAGTAGCCTTGACGGATAATCTGAAAGGTGGATAGGAACAGTTTATAAGCTTAAGTCGATAACACAAATTTTTTTAACATTGTGTGGGCAACCATGGTATGTACTCGTGACATATAAATTTATTGTCATGGCAACATCTTAATAGGCCTAACATCGGAGACCGTAACCATCAAGTAATAACGTCGTAGAGTAACGCCGTGTATTAACGTTCTAATTACATACCACGTGCAGAGGGCAGACAATCACAGATCGTGATGATCGTTAACAAAAATATGAACTTGCTTTCCATCCTCAGGTTAATAAAACCGTAACTCAGACCTGGAAGAGAATCGAAACAAGTCAAATTAACTAACGGTATTACAGGGTAATTAAGTGTTATCAACTGAGTTGAAAACGTAAATTGGCCACTGTGAAGAGTTTAAAGGCTGACGTTTCGAGCGTTAGCCCGGCCTACTTAACTGAAAATACAATTTTACATTCTACATTGTAAAGATTTGACTTCGCAAGTTTTAAGTCAACCATCTACAAGTTGTATTTCTATTCAATGACATAAAAAAACGTGCAAAAAAAAAAAGCGAAAGTAAAATTCCCGACCACTCACCACGGAAGAAAATATGTCTGACAAACGTAAGTGACAACAAGCAGACTGCCTGATAAGTGGGTAAATACGAGTAACCAGGTTGCAATTTGTTCAAGCTTTGCTTCTGTTTGGCAGGGAAGTTGCAGCAAGTTTTCTCGGCCAATTGCATCGGCGAGAAGAAGAAACCCTATGCAATCTCAGATTACTTTGAACAACCAATTAAAGATTTCTTTAATTAGCAAATGATATCAGTTTCAATTTCCGACACAAAGCTATTTCTTTCGCATTTTCCACGACACATTATTTCCTCCTAAATGTCACTTATGACAAAAAAACATTCGCAAAATTCTTGTGAATGAGTTTGTTACTCAAATTATGATCACTCGAGTCTAAGGTCGCTCAAGGTTTAGCTCACACCAGCAGTTCTTTGGCTGTCAAGTGACACTGTCCGAGGATCGGATTAGTTAAATTTAAAACGTTGTTTCTTGAAAAAGATATGTTTACGAATAAAGATGACCTGGGGGCAGTCTACCTACATCAATCTTTTCATTTGAGTTTCCGGTCCAATTTTGAGTCTCTAACATTAATTAGAATGTTTGGGAATGTCCGAATAAAGGAACAGTCCAGAGCAATTACTTCAGTTCATTCGTGTATGACATTGACTAAGCAAATACCTTAGCTGATTATTTCGCATCATTGAAAAAAAACTATTTATCGAGACAGATTTTGAAGCAATTCAACAAAAGAACAAATTGATAACCGACCAAATTGAAAATGCAGTTTGTAGTAAGTTAATCGCTAAAACTCACCCACGGATGGCTGTATTCCAGACGAAAAAAAAAATGTACAGGTCAATCGCTGCTGTAAAAGTAATAGACCATAAGGACGACAGAATGCCAAAAAATTTATAAAAAATTCTCGAGCACTTTAAGGGCCGATGTAAGAAGTCCGATGATGAGTGGACGAGGCACTGTGCCGTTCCTTCGAAGTACAGATCTGATCGTCAATGTGTGCTCTTGGGAAATTATTGTGATATATATTAAGTATCTTACGTGTATATTTGGTTCCGGTGACTGAATATGTTTAAGTACCAACATCCGAGGACTAATGCATAGCAATGCATAGCAACTTGTTAAGTGATAACAAAGGAGCCCTAGGCCGGAAAACGGTGCTGAGATCCTTGCAGATTAATTGTGGGCTGGCTACATTTTAGAATTTATAGTTAAGGCATGATCATAAAACCACGACAACATTATCACGTTCCAATATACCAGAGAAAAGAATTAGTATCCTATCGATTACCAGTTGTTTGTGCCGCAGTTTTACCTAGTGTGATCCTGAGAATGTTTTCACGGTCGAAACATTTTACTCTAAAAAAGGCAAACTATCCCTAGCGGTTCACAGTGGAGTCATTTTAGGTTCATCCCTAGAACTTAATCGTGGCCAAAGTAAAGCCAGTTTGTTTTCTTATTCCCAATCCGCCCTTAATAAATCCTATCCGAGTATTACTAATTCGGCTTTGATCCTTTAGTTGAATCAAGTCAAGTGCTTGCCAACTCCTTTTTAAAAATAATAATTTCTAAGCACTCGACTCAACATCTTTCACATTCCTTTACCTCACCGATATTCTCAAATTCCATCACATCGTCATCTTCATTCATACTTCCTCAAAGATTTCAGAAAAAAGTTGTCAGTTATTGAGATAACTAAATGTATAAAGGGGTTAAATTTCTAAAGAAACTGTGTTGCTACGCTGGTTGGGGTATTAAAAAAATGATTAGGTTTCATCAACCGAGTTGATAATGTAAGTTGGCCACCATAAAGAGCGTCTAGAGCTGACGTTTCCAGAGTTAGCTCTGCGTCAGAACGTCAGTGGTGCACGAAGGAACACTCGAGACGTTAGCTTTGGAAACTCTTTACGGCGGCTAATTAACATAATCAACTCCGTTGATAAAACCAGATTATCTTGTGATCTCCTCATGTCTGATTTGAACTTTTCCATTGACAAGTATTTGGCTGGGACACGACTATGCCCCGAAAATAAACATTTTCCTTATTTTGTGATGCCACCCTTTCCGATGTTTGTCTATTTAAAGAAATATGACACCTTCTCAGAATATTTTGCTTTAGTTTCCCAGAAAAAAAGTCGTCAGATATTGAAATAACATTAGATGTATAGAGGGGTTAAATTTCTAAAGAAACTATGTTGCTGCGTCAGTGGGGGTACGAGAAAATGATAGGGTTTCATCAACAAAGTTGATAAATAAATGTAAATTGGCCACCATAAAGAGTGTCTAGAGCTAATGTGTCGAGTGTTAGCTCTGCGTCAGAACGTCAGTGGTGCAGGAAGGACACCTTCTCGGAATATTTTGCTTTAGTTTCGCAGAAAAACAAACTTACGAACACTTACTATGCTGGTTATTTTAAACAAGAAAAATGAGCACGAATCACGGTAGCAATATAGCTTTGACATGACGTATCCCGCTTTCATTAAATTCTGTCACCACAAATTTTAATTCTTATTCAAATACAACATTGCGTCACAGAAACATGGTGAACTTCAGACGTAGAAAGTCCAATATGTCTGAAGTTTTCGTTTCTTTGCGCTTGGGTCGAAGTGGCTGTTAACGAAGGTGGGAATTTGGGAAGATGGAACTCTTGAGCTCTCTGAGGCATTGAGGAATTAAATGTGTGTTAATTGCTTTAGATATTTAGTGAAACAATCTTTCCTTCAAAGCTTATGACATGAACACTATGTTTACGTTTTGTGTGGATGGTTATTTTTTCATTAAATTGTGGGGTGTATATTACTTGGATGTTTGGCATACCATAAGTTCAATACTGCCATCGGACCGTCTGTGAAACTTGTAATTACTAACATTATTGAGAACAATAAAAAACACTCTGGAGCAATATAAGCATATGTGATGCGCAAAACAGTCCATACTCTAAAGTACTTGCTGGTAGACTGATTTTACTTAATGGTCTTTTTAAGTTTCTTGAATATTATTAATTCTGTGACTGGATGAATCAATCACAACATTCTAACATTAGGAGCTGCACTTGAGAAGCTGAGGTTGAGGTTAAGGCCAAGAATTGATATCTGATTTTTTCCATTCCTTTGCTTAAGTTGTTACACGTCGCTTGAAGATTGAAAAGATGTCATTCATTTTGCGGTTTACCTTAGTAAGTCAGGTATAACCTGCGAGATAATTCTCTCGATTAAAGCCGGAATTTTTTTTTCATGGTATCGACAACCAAAATAAAAAGCTCTCAATAATTTAAGCCAAAAATATGAGATGTAGAGGAATATCTACAGATACAAAGTTTGTTCAAGTCTCGATCCCTGAGCGGTTTTCAGATGATGAGTTACTTGCCTTAATGCCTCATAGGAATTTTCACGGTTCAGTACGTGGACGCCATATTTGTTCTCGTCCAAGGTACGTTTAGGGACCTTAAGCCACGACGGCGACGGCGACGGCGACGTGGCGAAATAAAGGATCAAATAGGCAGAATAATAGCGCCGTAAGTGCGTTTTAACACGTTGTACATTTCTAATCCGTCTTCTGCAAAGCAACATCATGAAATTCCCAATCTTGTGCGGCCCGAGAACGAAAACCTCAACGAGAAATTATATTTAAATTTCCATTTGGAATGCAAAACTGTTCACATGCGTTGTGCTGAAACTGAAATGTGGCACCGCAAGGGACGGTAAACACATCCAGTCATTCGCAGAATTCTAACCAAAAATATTGATTCATTTTTCCATCAACGTCTTTGTCGCGTTGCCGTCTTGACTGCCTTAGATCCCTTAATACGGCGTTTGAAAAAATAACACAAACAAAGCGAAAGTGATAAGTTACGCCAAAACTAATTTTGCATTGCTTTGACCGCTCGGTGATTAAAATACCACATTATTAAATTACCATTTTTAAGTATCAGACATTTACCTAACAGCTTATTTGGACGCCATTTGGATGTGCTTTTCGTGACACCAACTTATACAGTTGACAAAGCAGAGAACATGTAAAAAAGAAAATTAGAAAGGAGAAGTGTCCTCGTGAAACGATATTAACTTCATCTCCACCACAAAAAAAAAAAACAACAACAACAATAACAAAGAAACCGTGACTTCAGATGCTAAAAAAAGCTGCCAATCGTACGCAAGTTAATTGTCATCAAACGCGCTCGAAGTTCGATCATCAACGCCACCATTTTGACATCGACTCAGCACACAAAAAATCACAACGAACAGTTGATAATCTGGTGTTCGTAAAAATACTTTTTTGCTAAACAGATTGCCAAGAAAAGGAAGAGTACGAGTTAGTTTTAAAATGCCGGCGTCCGTGGTGGAATTTCAAGCAATCTGAAGGTAATCTTGGAAAGCATAACTTTACTCTTTTAATCTCAAACCTCAGCAATATCAAAATTTCATGTATACTTTTTCATGGCGGAAAAAAACGTTAAATGGACTGAAGAGCATACTTCTTCTATAAGAGTATTTTTCTGTCGGTTGAAAATCTGCTCGCTATCTTTCATTTTCATAGCGTTATATAAAAACCAAGAATGGCAAGGAAGGGCGTCCCCTTCGGTAACCCTAAAAGTATTAAATTTTTTATATCTTCTTGCATGACTTTTTTCAATCAAAATTAATTTTACAGTTGTCATTGCTCCCTGCGGAATGACGCCTCTGTGTTATTTCCGTTGGGTCTGGGAAACCGAGATTCATTTCAGTTCGAAATTCTCGATATGGCATAATTTTAGTCAGTATATATGATGCAATATGTAACAATTTAGAAAGCCTATTTTATTAGTTCCTTTCCGAATTATTAAATTTTGCATTTTCAGTAATCATTTTCTTCTACTAAACCATTATTGTCATGTGTTTGAGCTACGGTGTTTAGATGCAGTCCGCGGTTTGCTCAGTTTCAAGTCCACATTTCTGGTCTGATAAAACTGTCCACTATGTTTGGAGACACCAGAAAGTGGGATTGGAAAACAGGGTTTGAAAACAAATTTAAAACTGGCGATGGCAGCTTATAGCGTCCCACACACACTGGTATTAGTAATTTTCAAACAAAACAAAATAGCACCAGTTTATATGATTTTATTTAGATAATTCAATTGTTTTTCACAGAATCATATCCTGGCATTGCAATTACCATTTTAATGAACGTATTTATTGGGGTATTTCTATCTTTAGACAACAATACCTTTAAGGCTTTGTTTATATTTGGTACTGTCTTAAAAAAAGGTTTATTTTTATTGTTATCATTTATAAATTATTTTAGTTGGTGTTTTGAAGTATGTTTTGTCTTCGAAGTACACAACATAACTTTCGTTTGAAAGACTAAGCACAGGGGAAAAACTTTGCGGAAATAAAGGTTTGTAAAGGTAATAGAAAATTTTTGTCAACATAACCACAGTGTGAATATGGAAGCGATCCTTGCAGTAATGAACACTACTTGAGCAATTGTGAAGATAAGGCCCGGAAAAAAAGAGTAGTTGTCTCTTTGCTTAAAAAACGGGGGCTGTAATTGTTATCATGAAAAAAAAAAGGGTTTAATACAGCCCTCAATTGTTTAATTGAGGAATGAAAAATGGACAAATGCCTCGATGTTTTCTCAAAAAGAAGTGCATAGATTATCGTGCAGCTTCTAGTGTTAGTATATGTTTGAACACTGAAAGATTAGCCACTATATTTGATGAAAGAAAATGGTTGCTCCTTGCATCATTGAAGATATTTTTTAAAATTGTTTTCAATTGTTTTTATTAACGCGAGAAGCAATGAAATAATTGTGGTCAAAACACCATTAGATAGTAAAAAAAAAAAGAAAGAAAATATAAATTGATCGTCAGGGATATAAATGGTTGCTAAGTTTAGGATCATATGCTGGTCATATATTTAGTATGGATTGTAAAAGAATACGTTTGGAGTGAAATGCGTTTTTCCCAAATGTAGACCAATTCTGGAGCTTTTTTTGAATCTCATTTACCAACAGAGTTTAAAACTCATATGATTAAAGGACAAGTAATGAACTCCAACCTATCTGGGTTTTTGCATTTCCCCCTTCAGCCCTTTTGATTTCATCGTGATCATTTATTACACTTATCAAACACCTTTCTGTTATCACAGAGCTGATTTTCAGCTCATTGTCTAGAAAGATTGATAAGCCGAAACACTGCAAGGTAACGATGGCTTTGTTCCGTTTCCCCATCATAAAGACAATGTAAGTTATCTGTTAATGGCCTTTTAACAGTGGTATATGTGTTTTGTTCGACGCCCACGAAATTATCTTAATTTTTTATGTTTTTGTTTCAGATCGTAGCTTGCACGCAAACCGAAATGGGCGGAATTAGTGACATCATTGACTAGACATCATGAGTAAGGCGCAGAGTTCAGCACCAAAGCAGCACTGAAAAACATTCATTACCGTAACATGCTTGACTATATAGTGCGTCTGAAAGATATGATAAAGGACTGTAATTATTCGCTTGACAGCGTTGGAAAGCGACGAAAAAACTATATTGATCTGGTAATTTGGAATTGTTTGCAACGGAAACTGTTGCGGGGTAAAGTAAAAGAGAAAAACCGATTGTACGTTAAAATAGCGGTTTTATCTGAGTGGTTAGAAATTAGAATAACAAAGGACTAAGGCGAGGTAACATACAGACTCTGAGCAGGAATGATCTTGAACTTTTACAAGTAACATTCTATTTTACATCAAAAGGTAGTGCGTGGGTAGCTCATATAACCTTGTGCGGAAAGATGGTGGAGAACGGAATAGTGATTTTTAAATTTTACTGCTCTAAAATGGGACAAATCTGGTTTTGCACTTTACTAGAACATCTGTTTTCTTTTACAAGTTGGGTCTTCTAAGGCAATGCTGCTAGCATCAAACCCGAAGCACTTTTCATGCTATCTTTAGTACCAATTTTACGAAGCTATCAAAACAGGTTTTGATATCATGATGAGAAAGTGCAAGAGCACTTACATAACCATGAGCTTAGAGGGCCTTAAAAAAATTCCCGAGAGTCCACTTGGCATTCTGCAGTCATCATCGGTAGCCAAATTTTTCGTTAGTTTTCACAAAAACCACAAACTCACGATATAAACAAATATTATTACTACTTTGAGAGCTACAACTCGTATTATCTTTCATAAACGTCATCCGACATTTTCCTCTGCACTAGACAATGATGCGCCTCTCTACGATTCTGTGATATGAAAATGAAGAACTTACCTTTTTAACTAAAAAGCTCCTGCACCTTTGAATCGCAAGTTTATAATGCCTTATCCAAAAAATCCGCCCTTCTTTAAATAACCCCCGCCTCCCGCCTACTCTGTATGACGGCTGGGAAATTACTCCGGGCACAAAGTTCGCCGTCAAATGAGCCTATAATAGACGAGCCTTGCTAAATGAGGGACACTTATAGACCACAATGTCAATTTTATTATATTAATTCATGATACTTTTTGCCTTGACAAAACAGCTGAATCAAGAATTTATAAGAAACAATTGCGAGGACAGCAAAACAAATCAGTCTAAAAAACAGTTTGATCTCCTATCCCATGTTTCATCTGGTGGATCATCTATTTGCTAAAAGTTTGTTGTATTAATTTTGAAACCAAACCATTTTTTAGTATTCTGGACTAACTGCAAAAAAAAAAAAATATAACAAAACAAACACAAAACAAACATCGTCTATTTTTGGAATTTCGCTCGTTTGCCAGGGGCACTTCTTGAGTAAAATACATACACAATTGTGTGGTTTTTCGGTAGTTTAGTCTACAAACCGAGGAAATTATCAAAAGCCCTGATAAGACGTTTGCATCTTAGAAAGGAAAATTAATCTACAGCTGAAAACTGAATTTACAGACGATATCAACATAATATGTGCGGATGCCTTGAAAAATTCGTAATTGACCAAACCGTGATGGTAAACTATTAAATAATTTGTAAAAATTCAACTTACAAGGTTCTTGAAGGGCGCAGTTACCAAGTTTTGCCTTTAAATTACCCGTGTGAACGCCATATTAGGCGGCATCATTGTTATTTGTTTCGTTTAAGAGGGCTTTTAAAACACTTGCAAGAGTTTGCGAAGTTATTGGCGATATTGAGAACGCGGTGCGGGAAATCAAAATATAATTGAAGTGGATTCGCTGCCGCTAAGCGGTTTGTTAGACGAACTAATATAACTCGTTTCTCGGCCCCTCTCTATGCTTCATTACCGATGCAATTTCACTCTAGTTTACAAAACAAAATATAACTTTTAGACCAAACTATACGGCTTGGTTATGCACTTGCTATTTCTAAAACAAGCACAAATTTCAAGAAAGGAATTATTTTTAAGAAGTCAATAATAAACAGCCAAAAGATAACGTGAATCTGTGATTCGTTATTTAAATCATAATGGCTAAAGTTTCTTCTCGTTTCTCTACTGTGACGTAACTGCATATATCATCGGCCTATTTGACGCAGTTTTCGCATCGGCCTATTTTACGCAGCTTGCGTTTTTCTCAGGTTATCTTCAGGCGTTTTGACGCCATTTTCTGATCCCGCTTTCCAGCTGAGCTAAAAAGCGTTTTTTTCCCCTAGAATTCTGTAAACTATATGATTATCGATGTCAAGAGTCGGGCGTACACGACGTACGCGTACAGTCTGGCGTACAAGTTGGCGTTACACGAAAAAGTCACGCGATTGGATCAATGTTATTTTAGGGTTCAACTTCCCTTAGGAAAACCTGACGAACATTAAAAAAACCAGCTGCGTCAGTGGATGCTTATGCTAAATTTTCATTGTCCCGGGATACCCGCCTTCAATAATACAGTGATGTGATATGAAGGTCGACTGGATGAGCATGCAGTTGAATACAACGTGACGTTACAAGGAAAGAGGAGCAACTGATGTTGATTTCACATTCGGTGGATTTGATAACAGTCATTAAATGAAGGTATTTTTAAATTGATGCCGTTAATCAGCTGGTTAAAAGAAGGGGCAGAAGGTTAGAGGGGACTAAAGATAATGCAAGAGTTAGGGGGTTAAGACGATTGTTGCTCAAATAATTTTTCGGCGAAAAAGAAACGGGTTGGATTTACGCTTTGTTTCCGGAAAAATAACTATTTTGCAAGGAACATTGACAGGGATTGCAAAAATAAGGAAGTGAAAATATGGAAAACTCAAAAAAACTTCCATTTATCTTGATAATGATTAGCAAAGTTCTTTTGGGCAGGTAAAATGAGAAATGGATCCTAAAGTTGGAAAGGAAGTTCAAAGAGTCTAGAAAGATCACGAATTAAAAATTAAAAAGCAATAAAAAGATCGTCAATTTTAAAGCATACTCTTTTGTCCTTGCCTTTCAAAAAATTATTGATACTTTCTTAATCAAAACGCTAATAACGGCTTTGTGCAACGCTCTTTTTATTGAAAATCGATCGAAGAGAGAGTGCTATTAACAGTTGCAAGTTTCTAGAATTCATTAAAATCTACGCGACATAAATCTATGTAAAGTGGCCGATTTACTGACATGTTAAATTGCTCCTGGGCAAATTATGTCTGTCTGACTTCCAATGGTATTAAATATAATTTGTGCATGTTCTTAATTTAACAAAACGCTTACACCTTCAGATCGTTAATCGCATAAAAGCGACCCCTCTTATAAACGGAAGGTATAATGTTGTTCAACTCGATTTGAGCCATTTGAATATGAATGTTACTATACGAGAATGCGTGGGAACAAATATATTATGTCGCAAAGATTGGAAAGAGAAAAAATGACTTACTTTGTGATTATGCTCGCTGCTTGAGCCATTTTGAGTTTTAGATTTGAAGTTGTCACGGCTGCCGTGAAAGATAGCCATGTGGCTACTAATCAACCTGCAAATAAAAAGAAAAAACTTCAGACAGTTAAGTGGTTCATAGTTTAAATGACACCGAGACAAGAAAGGGAAAAAGCCGTTTCATCAAAATCTATTCAGCTATAATTGTCTTGGAATTTAAATGAAGGTTAGAAATATATCAAAACCTAAACTCGACGATAAAACATGAATACATCTAGAAAACTGCTCCAAAACTTGATAAAACCGAGAAGATATAATAATTTCAATTAAATTTCAACCTAAATGGATAAAAATTTACCAGAAATCCGTAAAATTTGTCTAAGACCTTCCTTTTTAATTAATCTCTGTGGTAAACATTAATCCTGTCATGTTCCGCTCTCTTCTCCATAAATACAGCTCGTGGAGCAAAATGCAGACTTCTTTTTGTTTAAAAAAAAAAAGTGTCAAACTGAAATAGCATAGTATTCATCCTGGAACTGAGCAAGCGAGTTTAGCCGAATTCTAAAGAATTGATGTACAGTTTCAACAAAGACGGTAATATCAACTTACCTTTAATTCTTCAAAAATTAAGAAAAATCACTCTCAAACTTGATGTTCGCACGTAGTATTCAAATAAAATGCCTGGTCTTAAAAACAAGATTCAGATTACTAGAACGGGACGACAAGCCTGTAGAAACAATATTTTCTAGCAAAGGATTTGCTTATTCGTACATCATCGTTTTAGTGGATAATGTATTAATATATGGCGAGGAAACATTACATTTCAATCACTTCTAGAAGTCCACAGTTGAGGGACAGACCAAATATCGAAGAAAGTTTATTAAGAACAGTTTCACTGAAGTACCATTGGAAAAAAAAACATTCACACACAGCATATCTGTAAGAATATTCAGTGCTCGTTTAATAAATAAAAGTTGGGTTTTGCTCAAATGACAAAGATTGCCTCTAAAAATATGCACACAAAGAACGCTTATTTATACAAGAAAACCTTTAAAATGTACAACAAAATTTACAAATACTGCAAAAATATATTCTGCAAACCAGTTTTTGTCTAGCTGGGGTTGCAATAACTTTTTCCATAAACGGCTGTCAAAGGTGTAAAAGACAGCTGTGTCCAGTTAGGGGCCATAGAGGCTGCTCACAGGCTCAACAAACGGCGTGTGAAGTCTTACAGGCAACGGTAGACATTGGTTCTTATCCAAGCCCCTATCTCGGTTAACCAATTTGAAAAAAAAAATTTAAATGACAAAGAAGGATCGAAATTGAATGGTGTTTCTATCGTTTTGTTGTCTGAATCACGATTGCTCTCTTGTAGTCCTCAATAGCCGCGCCTTTCTTCCCTTGTTTGCCAAGAACGTCAGCTCGTCTTTTATACACCAGAGCATCACCGGGCTTGAGGCTTAAGGCTGAGGAAAAATATTAAAATCGGAAGATTGTAGAGGAAGCAGGCATAAAAATTTCAACCGAGTGTGGAAAGTAACCTGGGATACCTCGCTATCTGATTGGTCCCTACAAACTCGCACTACCTTCTCAACCAATCAGATGCAAAACTGAAATAAATAGGGGCTTTGTTGATCGCGTTTTCCGGCGCCTAAAGCAGTTTATTAGTAATATTTACCAAGGGCTATTGTCGTTTCTTTAGCTGGCTTTCCGACATTCCATCGAAATGCGCCGAAGGTAAAAAATCATTGCGTAGCCATACCAAAATATTTGGTTGAATACTCAAGCTCCTTTCACAACAATCTGGTGCTTTCGTAGACAAAGCTTGTAGAATTAAAAAAATTTGAAAAGGATAACCAGCGTAGGTTGAGTCAACGACAGAAAACGAAGCTTTTCGAAAACACTGATTTGGAATGGCCTCGTAATCCCTGTAATAACCTATAACGTTGGCGCATGCTCTGTCATTCATATAAGGTCACGGTATCGTACATCCAGCATATTAATGGACTACCTTAACGTGACATTCATGTAGCGCGAATTGCTTTCTTGTTTTATCGGCTGAAGAGTTTCCCCAACTAAATATACTCTAAAACAGACCCAACGGGTAGACAAATGTAAGCGTCCTGGGAGGGGTGGGTGGGGGTTCCTACCTCTAGTATAATCATCCTCAGACTCCTTGTATTTTCTTAGTGAAGCGTAAAGGTTTGCTCGATTGAAGTACAGATGAGCAGCGTACGGATTCAGCTCCACTGTAAATATAAAAAAGAATTATTATAAGTGCTTAAAACAGAAAGAGGGAGAACGGCTTAGGTGAAGACTTAAAATATAGAAAGGACTTTTATCGATGTTATTAATTACATAAGACATTTTACTTTAGGAGTGATTCTCTCTCGAAAATACCTAACTACATTTTTTTTTGTTTATTTTAACTTTGAATGTTTTTTTGCTAGCTCCCTTTAAAAGCATGATTACCCCCAGGAATTGCGTCAAGTCTCTTTGACATTTCACCGGCATTCACTTACACCCTTAAGTAGAGAGAGACACTGTGATTGAAAACACTTGATGTTTTGTAAAAGAACACGACACTGATGATTGAACCAGGGCCTGTAGCACTCGATCCAGAGCGCAATTTGTCGTGTGCCGCGCATTCAAAACCTAACTGGCTTTGGCTAAAGAAATTTCCCTACAGAATACCTGCTCGGTTGAAATCTTGTATCGCTCCTCGGGTGTCTTTGATCATCACCTGTGTAGAAAAAAATACCAAAATGAATGACATTTACTTAAAATTAATTGCATTGTAACGTAATGACAGAAACAATTGAAACTTATAGAACATGAGCAGTGATGACAGAAAATGGAGTTGCGCGTTTACGTTCAACCGCTGTGCATAAATAACGCACCTTCGTTATAGCTCTGTTAAGAACTGCAGATTCGTCTTCAGAATACCAAGACAAAGCCTTGTCGTAGTAGTTCAGGGCCTTTTAAAAGAAAAAAATTGTTAGTCAATATTGGGTCTAGTTCGAACATTCACTCGCCTGAAGAACGCAAACGTGTCCGCCAGGGCTACGAATGTTAACAGCTTTAGCCTGACAGGATTATATCAGAAGTTCCGGTAACTTTTTCCATGAGCGGCTGCCGATGGCTGCGCCCGAAGAAGGGGGCTGTAAGGTGAAACTCAAACACGAGACCCTGTCTAGGCTCAACAGATGGTGGTAACGTAAAAGCACAGGAAAAATTACTACTAATAAAAAATTTTACTTGCCTGCTTGAATTGCCTCTGTCTAAAGTAGACATTAGCGGCGTTATAATAGGCGAGAGCGTACGATGGATCTGTTTTTACTGCCGCTTGGTAATCGCGGATGGCATTTACCAAGTCTCCCATGAACTGTGAGAAACGAGAGAGAAAATTTTTCAGAAACCACCTCTAAGGGCCTCTTCATACGAGCACGGGTTGAATTCTAGCCCAGATCGAAACACCGCTAGGAATCCTAAATTAAAGATACACAAGTTACAAGAACACGGTTTGTCAGTCTGCATTAGAATGTAGTTCTCTTCGAGATTGACTCGGGTCATACTTCTTACCGAAGAAAAACCTGATAACATTAGCTATAAGGTAACAGAAACACGTCCAGTGTGACAGAATGCTAGAAGGTCATGATGTAAAAACAAAAACAATACAGATAAACGAAGAAGAAATGGTTATTGGGGTGAAAGTGAAATCCCGGTGAGTTTTAACATTAAAAAAATGAGGAAATTTTTACTCCTTCTAGCCGGGTCAACCCGACTGTTAACTAGGGTTACTCAGCAAGGTGAGCAGGCCCTGATTGACAACTTCTTTAAAGTAAACGCTTGTACAAATATTTCATTAAAAAGGGTTATCCATCGCGGTGATTCAACCCGGGTTAAAAAGCAACCCGGAGTCGTGTAATGAGTTCTTAAGGAAGTTAAGAATAACATTTATGGCAAAAAGAAAAAAAATGGACCCCTTTCCATATGCACTAAGCCTTTTGGGCACTAAAACGTAAAGTATTTGCATCAGCCTTGAGCAAAAGATGTTTTGTTTGGGACGCTGCATGAAATGTTTCATTTCCATCACGAAGTCCTTTGACCTACGAAATTGCTCTTTTTTTTTTAAAATCTAACAATGCCCCCTTCCCTACCATACAATGTTGAATCAAACCGCATGGAAATGTAGAGAAGCTCATTTGATATTCCTTTGGGTGGGGAGAGAAAGGCGAATAGTAGAAGAGTAATACAAAGAGGTTGAAAGAAAGTAACCGAACACTTAAGCCACTTATTGTAGATTAAGCTCTTGTTGGGAGATAAAGAGGTACTCACCTGCTGCACTACTCCACGATTCGTCAACAACTCTGCAGTCTTAGAAATCTGATCGAACAACAAAGGCAATTAGTTAGCGACAACTTTTAAATAGAAAAATGACAACTCCTACTCTAATAACAATACACAATCCAAGATAGTTAGTATTCGTGTACCTTGATAGCGTCATTCATATCAACAAAGGCACCAAACGTGTTTCCCATCTGTAAGTTTACAACAGCGCGGCCTTCCAAAGCTGACTGGCATGCTAAAAGAAGACAAAATGAAACACAAAAATTACACTAAGGGACGATACATTTAGTAACCTTCGAGACACTGTGAGTACATAACCCAACATGCCAGAGAGAAAAGAAACGGTTAAGAATTCGAACAGATGGGTGTTATATTAGACTTTACAGCCTCAGTAAGCATATTCTCCCTACTGTTCTCTATACATTTCCTATGGAACTGACCTAGAGAATTTGTTGAACAGTCAAGAGTTTCTTTAGTTTGTGCATGGTGATCATTTCCTCTATTCTTACGACCTTAGTGAGTGATTCAGCTGTAACACTGTAGGGGGAAATTAGATTGGAGTCACCTTCAGAGGATTAGAGGATTAAAAGAGGGCAGCGAAGGAGTCAAAAGCAGGACTACCGAAAAACAGATTCAGTCGAGTGACGGAGTGGAAGATCTGAGCCTGGGATCCCAAAAATTTCAAACTTAGCACCCTGAGCAACTCGACCACGTTGCCTTTACAGAAAATATCGAGACAGAACAGCATGTCATTTCAAACATTTAAGTTGTAAAAAAACACAAACACCACCAGTCCAGTGTTACAAACCAATTTATTTGCATCTCACCGACCTGAATTAATGGATATTGCAGCAGAAAACTGGTTCCATGCCGCTTGAAACTTTCCTTCAACCTGATAAGGAACCGAAAGGAATCAGTTGAGATAATCCACCAAATGATCCATGAACGTACAGTCGAATGTTTAATATATTACCCATTCAGACAGTCTCTGTTCCTCGGTCACCGACTCATTCGGATAGCCAGCTAGTTAGTCAGTCGGTCACAGATCCAGACAGACAGACTGATAATAAGCAAGACAGAAAGACAGTCTATCAGTCAGTCAGTCAGTCTGTCCGTCCGTCTGTCCATCAGGCAGTCAGTCAGTTAGCCAACCAGCCAGTCAGTCAGTCACTCAGTCAATAAGTCAGTCAGTTTGTAAGTCAGTCGGTCAGTCCGTCCGCCCGTTCGTCCGTCCGTCCGTCTGCCTGTTTGTTCGTCCATCAGTCAGTCAGTCAGTCAGATAGCCGGTCATTCAGACAGTCAATCAATCTGTAAGTCAGTCAATCAGCCAGTCAGTCAGTCAATCTGTCAGTAAGTCAGTCAGTCCGTTCGTCAGTCAGTCAGTAAATCCACGCTCTTCAAGCATAAAAAAGTCGCGCACATGAAGAAACCCCTATGATGATAATCGCCGTTATTTTTATGACAGGCAGTCAGTCAACCAGTTAGTCAATCAGCCTTTCCGCAAGTCACACAAACAGTCAGTACCACAGTCTGTCACTTCGTCGTTCAGTCAGTGAGGCAGCTTGTGAAGAAGGGAAGCACGCAAGCAATTGGCAATCAATTAATCTAGCAATTCTTCAATCCTTGACAGCCACATTATATTAGTTACCTGCAAATTGTAGCCCAAGTTCACTCGTGCAGATAAACACAGTGGGTCCACGTGAAGAGCCTTTAAATAATCATGTCTGAAATAAAAGGTAACATGAACAGGTCGATAGCAAATCATTATGTAGAAAACTCCCTGTTGCCTTGTTTGCTCCATAAGTTAGGGAGACAAACCCTTCTGCAATAAGTCCTCTGCATTTTTGATTAGAGAGGAAGCCGAGAAGTGAAGGCCGGTAGAAGGCTGGGGCGGACTTATAGACAGAATGTAGAAAGAGAGTGGTTAAATGGGAAGACAGGAGATAAGGGTTAGAGGGAGGAAGCAGGAACACAAACAAGTAAATAATTAAGTGAACATGTTAGCAGATGGTTGGAAAAATAAGAGAAAGTATCTTAGTACTCGCCTTCCCAGAATAGTTCCATCTTCGTGTCCAAAGTCCATCAATGCATTTCCACGCCCATTGTATGCTTCAACAAAGAACGGATCGATACGAAGAGCATCGTTGTAAGACGAAACAGCTTCCTCCAAGCGGTTTAACCTGGGTAAAGCATTAAACAGAGGAGTGTAAAGACAGGTATAGTCATTGCTGTGTATATCATACGAAACCAACAAAGCAGTGATACTGAACGAGGCTTCTGATTAACAGAAACTTTGGCTACACACGGCAGCGAAACAGAGATTAAAACGATAACCCTGTTTGGATTTCACTTGGGGTGGAAGCGTAGTCATAACCTCCATAGTAAGCTAGGTAAAGATACAAATAGCGTGCACTCGTTATAAGCGCTGCAGGACGCGCAGTTTTCGCCCGCGGGAAGATTTGAGACGAGTCGGGGAGAGTTTAGCCGGGGGCTGGCATTAATATGTCACTGCTACGCCCCTCGCAGATCTCTTGTCGGCTCGCTCTGCTCCAGGCCCCATACTTTCCCGCGGACAAAGAAACGCACGCGCAGAAACACTTATAATGAAGGCTAACTCGCAAGCTAAGATACAGCCAGCGTTTTCTTTCCTTTTACTTTTCTTTTTGTTTTTTGCTAACTACTCCGCATAGGAACGACCAACACCACTCACTTGTGATAACAAAGACCCAGTGTGTGACGTATATGGGGGTTGGCTGGCGACACCTTAAGGAAAGACAAAAAATGACATATTTTATTTTTTTGCACACGAAACAAAGAGAATGACCAGAGGCGCTAAAAGAAAGTCTCTAGGGTACCTTGGCAGCAGCTAGGAAATCTTGTAAAGCATTTTCCACGTCATCTATTTCGTAATAAAGCAATCCTCGATTCTGCAGAACCTATATCGGAACAGAAAAACGAGGACAACAGAAAACTTAAGCCAAAGAAGGGAGGAAGGAACCGACCGTTAGCCCTATAACACGGCGGTAAAACGTCGAGCATGCGCAAAGAAATCAATCTCGGCTGATCACGCGCCAATTTCTCGCCCAAAGTATCCAAGAAAAACATAACAAACAACCTCCTCCACACAAAATATGGAAGGGGGAGGGGGTTGGATGGAAGAGTCCACGATATTTGTAAACGGAAGTAAATTTAAGGCAAAGAAAAAATTGAAACTATTTGAACGCACAGCTTACTTGATTACGGGTTTCCTGCTAAATTACCATTTGTTAAACTTTATAAAAAAAAAGTTAAACGCTTTAGAAACACCATAAGTTTTATTCTACTTGACTCTGAAAGCCCGAAAGCACGCCACATGTCACATGGAAAACTTCCCAGAGTTTTTAGGTTTAAACACAGACTCACCTTAATATTAGGAGCATCTTCAAGTAGCATTACTGTTCCATAATCCATCAGCGCCTAGGGATTAGCGATAAAAAAATTGGGGCGTAAGAAAGGTGTTATTAGTTTTTCTCGAGTGTGGAACAAAGCAATAAATCTGAGACCCCAAAAGGAATCGAACCTCATACCATTGGATTATACCATTGGAATATATATACGACAAGATAATTTGGTTTTATCAACAGAGTTTATCATGTAAATTGATTATCGTTAGGTGTTTCCAAAGCTGACGTTTGCGCGTTAGCTCCTCGTGAGCCCTTTGTTTGGATAGATATTTTTGACCATGGACGTCGAGGAGAATTTTCGTTTGCCCCACGCATGAAGCAAAACGTCTAACATCTTTCCTTATTCGAAAACCTAATTCACAGGTTACCATATTTGTTTTTCTAAAAAACTAGAGGTTATTGTAGACGTAGGTATGAATTCTAATCAAACAGTTGTTCACCAAGCTGTACCAACCTTCTGAAAGAATCTCATTTCATGGTAGCAAACCGCACGGTTGAAGTAAGCCAGTGAACATTTACAGTCGATTGCCACAGCTTCTGTGAGATCCTTTACCGCCAGACTGAAAGCTTTGATGTTGTATTTCAACGCTCCCCTGCAGGTTACAGTAAGGCACATCTCTATTTTCATAAGCTTCAACCTGGCGCTTGTTATATGTTTGTCTTTCGTGTCTCAAATGTTTCATCCACTTGTATTTCATTCATAAGTTAGTCTACTTGTTCGTAGTGCGTTCGTACGTTCATAATTCCTTATTTCGGTTCTTCATAGATTTATACCCTTATTTGTTTGTTCTTCGTTCGTTCACCAGCTCGTTTGCGTTTTCGTCCTCCGCTCATGGTTTGTTCTTTCGCAAGTTAGTCCATTCGTTCATCAAATCATTCAGTGTTGTATATCACATTGTCACAGTTCTGACATTAAAAGCTTTTTTTCGTGTTTTAAAATATCGCAACACAAAGAGTTTTTATCGCAGCAAACCAATAAAATTCACAAAAGTATTTTTTTTGGTAAGCAACAAACCTGTAGAGGTAGGCCCTAACACTGCGAGGCTGTAGCTTAATGGCCTCATTACAGCTCATGATTCCTTTACTGTAGCGTCCCTTCAGACCATAGTAAGCTGCCCGACTCAAAAATGCCTAAGGAGCAATCAAATACGACACGGAACTCGCAAAATGAAATCAGGCGTAAAAGTCCCTTCCTAGACAAAATAGCGGACTACTTACACCCCCATCGCCTTCTTATGCAGGCAGTAACAGACACGTGGTTGAGCTGAAATCACGTGATATGGGAAGGGGAGCTAAAATAGTGTACGCTGACCCGATGAAAAACGCAAGACACATCCATAAGCTTCAACCTTGCCTTTAAAGACACCTTCAGCTAATTTTATTAAATTCTTTTTTTTCTACGAGTACGGAGCTTATGGGAAGGATCTTTTCGCTACAAAACTTATTAGACTGTAGGCAGATGAAACCGTGCACGAGAAAAGACCTCAGATGCATGTAAGAATACTGGATGGTAACAATCGCATATATAAAGAGAAATGACCTTAAAACAAGTCTATTTTCCTAAGAGTACACATGCATCGGTCTAACTTAGTGAAAACAGAAAGGAGAGCAGTTTTAGACAGCTTTCCAGTAAATTTAAGTAGGTTTCGTTTTGATCAGACCGTGAATATCATGTTTTGAAAAAAGGATATTTCAGGGTTACTGAGATGTAAGACTACATCCATAGGTTCGTTAGTTAACTGTGGAAGTAATAAGAACTTCTACGACACTCAAATACCGCTGACCTGGAAAAGTGTTGGCTTGATGGCCAATGCTCGGTTAAAATCATGGATTCCTTTAGCGTGCTTCAACTTCATCTTCGTCAAACCGCGCTGGTAGAAAGCCTGTCAAAGGTACGAAAACCTTTTAGCTCAATATTCAGGATAATTTTTTTTTCTACTACACGCACAAAAATTCCCTTCCGCCTCATCTTGGAAATGTAAATCGAGTAGGGGATTAGAGTAAGAAAGACTATCCAATGAAGAGAAATTTTAGAAATTTTCGATGGAGTGTGGTAAAATTAGAAAAACAGAGTTATAACACCGGCCAATCAAAAGAAGGGAACATATCTTAAAGAGCCAATCAGAACTCAGAGTAAAAACAAGTAAAATGTCTAAAGCGTGGGCACAACTTGCGATTGGTTAAGTGGTTAACAGGGTGGCACAAATTTCTGGACCAATCACAGCGCAAAGCAAAGCAAAACCCACGCAATCCCAGATTACTTTCAACTCTCATTTGAAAATTTCTCTCATCGAGTGTCAAGAGTAAACCAAGATTGTGTTTAATTGATTAGTCCAGGAAATTCACACCACCATCTTAACCAGTCAGCCATTCGTGATCCAGTCCCTCTTTTTCCGACGCTGCAAGAACTTGGTTTGTTTTCAAATTTGAGTCCTCATTGGCTCTTTGTGACATCTGTCTTTGTTCTTAAAATACCTCTGCAAAATCTGGGTTCACTCGAATGGCATTATTAAAAGCGTCAAGAGCACCGAGTGGCCTCCCAAGCTCTGAATGACACATGCCAATCAGGAAATGAACAGATGCAGCTTCTATTGGCATTTCCACTCGAGGATTCCATGGAGTCTGAGGAAACAAATTGAATAAAATCTGATCAAAACTCGCATATATCCTTGACAATAACAAACAACAACAACAACAACAAACAACAAAAATTTATTCATTTAGCAATTAAAATACATATCTAACAATCCCTTCTCGCAAAATAGCGAAGCTAATCAATAGCGAAGCTAATCAATAGCACTAGAGAGAACTCCCACACGCAATTTCTCGGGGAGTACCCATGTGTCCCACACGGGTCATACCAGTAGAGCAATTGATCAGTGGTCACACATGCTAATACAACCCTGGCCTTTCCACACGAGAAGGTGAATAACAGAGACTAAAGGCTAATTTTACGGCTAGATTTATTCAGCTTTCCGTATTGTTACAATGCATGCAGTAGAGTGTGGCCCACAAGGTAAGACTTAGTTGAAACTCACCATGATGTCGATGGCTCTTTCAAAACTCCTGATGGCGTTCTCAAATCTCTTGGCCTTCATGTTGGTCTTACCCAGCAGAATAAACAATGGCGCTACAGGTTTCACACGTGTGGCTCGTTCAAGAACTTCAATGGCCTAGATATAAGTCATAATAAGTAGGATAAACGAGTGAACGGGGAAATTCGAAAGAAGGCATATAAAGTACAAAGGAACGAAATGACGATGGAACAAGAGATGAGACGAAAAGACGAAAGGAATGAAGGCACTAACGGACACAGAAACGCAGGAACGAAGGGAAGGAAGGCCCGAAGGCACTAAGGGACACAGGAACGCAGGGACGAAGAGAAGGAAGGGCCGAAGGAACGAGGGCACGAAGGCACGAAGGGACACAGGAACGCAGGGCCGAAGGCACGAATGAACGTGAGGACGAGGGGACGAAGCGCCGAAGGAACGATGACCAAAAGGTACGAAAGTATGAAGGTACGAAGGGACAAAGAGATGAGGGGACGAAGGGACGGAGGGACGGAGGGACGGAGGGACGGAGGGACGGAGGGACGGAGGGACGGAGGGACGGAGGGACGGAGGGACGGAGGGACGGAGGGACGGAGGGACGAAGGAACAGAGGGACGAAGGAACGAAGGAACGAAGAGACGAAGAGAGAGGGTCGATTGACGGAGAAGGTTTTTGCGAAATTTGAATCAAAGAGACACAGGTTGCTAGTTGGAGAGCAGATACGTCATGGGTGGTAAGAAAGGTTAGTGGCCTCTTCGACCCCAAGGAACATTTCCTTGGCTGTGATAAGTTTATATTACCTGGTCGAAATTTTTCAAGAAGCTTTGAACTACCGCTTGTTGAGTTGCCGATGCTCCCAGACCTCGGTTCAAGTCTGCAGCTTGCCTAATGTAGTAAAAGACTTCATGAGAAACTCGATACAAAGCACAGCTTCAGAGGTTAAAGAGACTTGCCATTACTTGGACAACACGATCATGAATCAAAGAGAGAGAAGACTACAGACCTGACGTGAAAACTTGCAAGCTCTAACTTGTTTTGCTCCAATAACAGTTTTCCCTGAAAATACAAACCCTTCTTTAGTTCATGCATTCAAGAGGACCCCTTCCACCTCACACAGAGATGGGTGTTTAAGCGCAATCGAGTATCACTTTTAGCGACTCGATCTCAATACAAAACCGTTATTGAGACCTCCAAAGACTATCACGTGTACATGGCACTATCGTAGAGGTTAAACGTCTACGCATGTGCAAACGTTGTCGTGTCTTGGTGAAGTGCTTTCAGGTTATCAGAGCCAAGATGTCATACAGGAGTCATAAACAACTACACAAGCCAGTGAGTCGTGGTGATTTGAAACCGTATAAATGCTTTGATAAAGTTCACTACAAATATGGTAAAACGACAGATTATCCCGTAATTTAATAATCTTTGTGTTCGAAAAGTTTCGAGTTTTCCTTTTCCTTCCTTATGCTCCCTTTTACAGTTTTCCGTCAACTTTTTTTATTTTATTTGCATATTTTGCGTAATAACGATGTTTTTTTGCCTTTCAAATTTGGCGCAGGAAATTGGCTTGTGACTGGCAAAATTGATCTCCTGGCGGATGCTCTAAGTTCAACCGCTGTGTTGTGCGACATCGTCAAATTACATTATGTCGCTTAGCAACGCCACTGACTTGTTACGTCGTGTACTCAGCCAAATACTAATATACGGTTCCCATCTCCCCATTTCCCACCACGTAGTACGTCACTTCGCTTCTTGCAAAATTCAGCAACACTTTTTTCTCTTCACCGCCTAAATTATTAAATTGAAATGAGGAGGATGTTAATATTTTCACTTACCCTGGCCATGTGGTAGTCTGATACGTCCGGTCTCATGTGAATGACTCTTGTATAATCCAGAATGGCATCTTGAGTCTGGAAAACATAACGATAGTAAGAAGCCAGATCAAGGTTGAGTTGACAATGGCTCTTGATAGTCTCTACAAGTTGATGAGGGTTGGCCTGTATTTGCCTGTATTCACCAAAACTTTGTATTGGCTGCTTTTGATGTTAATTTTACTTTTGTTCTTATCGGCACTATGAGATTATTTTCTCAACACTCAATCTAAAACCCGCTCTTGATACCAACAAAACAAACAAAATACCAAACAGAAAAAAACCCCAACTGAAAGGCCAATTTGCGTGCCAATAAATTTACTCATGGTACAACACGCCTAAAACAATTTTTTTCTGCCCATCACACCTAATAGAAATTTCAATTCCATGAGACAAACTTGTAACCCACCATGTGGAGTTTGTGATAAGCTTCGGCTCGGCAGATGTAAGCTCTGATGTATGTCGGATCCACTCGAATGGCTGCTGTGTAACGACGAACAGCTCTAATGAAAACAGCAAAAGTGGAATTATCAAAAGGGAATTTTTTGATTTGAAATAAACCCTTTTACGATTGCGACAGCCATTTCAATTACAGTATTATATGGTGTTCGAGGTTGGTGACTCTATTTACTCAAGATAGCTAACGTGGCGGTAAAAAAGGGATCTAGCTTATGACATCACTTTTTAAAGAGAGAAAAAAAGGAGCTCACTTGTGGTAATTGCTGTTTTTGATGATGTAAATCAAACCGATGTTGACATGAGCACTAGCTAAATTGGAATCCAGTTGAAGAGCAGCCTCAAAATCAGGAACAGCATCCTCCCATCTGAAAAATGATGAAAAAAAATAAATAAAAGGTAATTAAAAGTCAATCCAGAGTTTGCCCTTAGCGTGAGCAATTTGAAAGATAAAGATGGACCAGTGGATAACTGAGCCGCAAGCCCATGACAATTCATCCCCCACAACGCATTAGATCAGGTTCCCAGTTACATAAAGACATGTGCAATGTAGCACCTTTGCCCTAAGCGCGTTAGTTGATACAGTAACAAATTTACACGTTGATCGAGTCGTTAGGAAAGGTTCACCATTTGCTATATGGAAACGAGTTGAAAGACTTTAGAACCCTTCGAAATGGGAGCGAATTTGTAGCGGACGAACTTGCAATTCAGCGAAACTCCAGATACCACTCGAACCATCTATTTCCTACTTGGAGAGAGGCACTGAAAGAGTGACTAGAGTGATCCGAGAATATAACCCGGTGACCATTTCTAGGGCTCGAACCTAAGGTTCTCCCACAAAAGAGATATTTTGACCTGTAGGATCCTACAAGTTTGAATCTTACTCGTGATGTAAGAAGTATTTTCCTTTCAAGAAGAGCACAACTAGAGCGCATTTTGATTGAGTGTCGTAAAACCAAAACCAAAGTAATCACAACGGCCAATCAGAAGAAAGGAAATTATCTCTAAGAGCCAATGAGATTTTAAAGTAAAACCAACCAAACTCCCTAAAGCGCGCGAAAACGCGTGTGACCAGTTCGTGATTGATTTAAGTTTTGCATCTGATTGGTTGAAAGAGTGGCGCGAGTTTACTGGAGCTAAAAGAAAGCAATCCAGGAGTACATTCTACACTCAATGAAAGATTGCTCCAGTTTCACTTGCTTCATGGTGAGTAACCCAGGATAAACTCCTTTTGTGTGCGCAAGTTGTCTCTAGGACTTACTCTTACCTTTTCAAGTCGGTGTACAAAATTCCCCGATGCAGAAATGCTTTGACATTATCTTCAGAGCTATCAAGAAGGAGAGACACACTCAAATCCTGCAGAGCTCTCCTCGGATGTACTCTGGAATAAAACAGTAAAGTTGGAACAGTTTTTGAAGGGCCCCTCTTTTGAAATTTCAACACAGAATAACTTCTTATTTCTAATTTTTTATTTCTTACTTTCTCAACAAACATCCTCTGTGATAGAATGCCACTGCATTGTTAGGATCATAATGAACAGCAGCGGCTAGGTCTTTCAATGCAGCCTCGAAGTCATCCTGCAACAAAGCGGAAATTCTACACATAAGAGAAGCTGCTGTATGGTAAGGAAACTAGCTTCTTCCTAAATGTCACATTATCGGTCCCCGAAACCACGCTGGTGATTTCCGAATTTTCCGAAAGAGACGCTTTTTCTTGGACCAAAAGAGTCTGGAAAGAGACCTTTGGGCATGATGCCTTTGTGATGACCGCTGTGATGAGCGTGTTACCGAACAAGAATGCCGAAAGTATTCCGGGGAAACAATAGAAAGGCAGAATTAAACTGACTCAATATCAAGCAAAGATTGAGGAAAAGTGTAGTTCCTCAAAGAAGCTGTAACATTGCTGAGGGGGAGGGAGTTAGGGAACTTTTGCATTAACTCAGATATTTCAACAGTTAAACACAGTCAGGTGACGCATGGAAGAAAGACATTTTACGGAAGCTCCTTTTACGAAGACAGCAATGGCTAATTAGGCTCTAAGCACGGAAAATCTATTCATTACACATACCATCTTGGCATACACTCTTGCCCTGTAAGTATAAGCCTTCGAGTCTTCTGGGTCCTGCTGGAGAATCTCTGTAAAATCTCTAAGGGCAGCAGTCCAGTTTCTGTGTTTAGCAAATATCAAGACAAAAGTAATCAGGAAAGTCTTTTAATACTTTTGAATTCCCGTGGACTGTAAAGAGGCATTAAAATGCCTCGTGGCTCTCGTGGGTAGAAAGAAGCAGTACAAGATCAAAGTACCTTTCTCAAGAACAACGGACACCGTTCAAACGGGAAACATCCGCTGCGTTACATTATTTCAGTGTTTCCAATAAGATCGCAATAAGGCAATTGATAATCGATACAAGATCGATCCAAATTCGATACTCACTCGTTTTGAAAACGAAACAGGCCTATCTCGAACATGGCATCCGTCTTCGAAGGCAAAAGCTTCGCTGCAATTTTATAATCCTCAAGAGCTAAAATCAAATCGCCACGCTTAAAAAAAAAAAAGAGACAAACTAATCAAAAAAACAAACATGACTGAAAATTTTATTTAGATCTCGATGAAACCTAAGATCTAGCCGAGAATGACTTGACTCAAAAAGCAGTCGGCATACTCACCATTTTAAACATGGCTGCTCTCTGGTAGTAGGTCTCGGCATCATCAGGATTCAACCTGATCGCCTACAATTAATCACTAAACTCAGTAAATTCAATTCGCACGTAGAATTAAAATCAATAAGGACGCGATAACAGAAATATCGTGGCATCATTGCCGTATTACCTGGGAGTAATTGACAATGGCCATTGTTGCATCATTTTCTTGCCGATATAATTCAGCTCTGTAGGTTTGAGAAACAGTGGTCAGTTCATGCTAAACGGTCAAAACCACAAATGATCAGGGACCGCGTAGAGGAGGGGCTGGGGGAGGGGGTAGCTTTAGTCACCTCTCCACGTTTTTGAAAAAGGCTAGCCCTGTTAAGTATGCCCCCAACCCCCTCCCTTGTTGGGCACTGATAACACCACCTTGTTAATGGTTCAGTTTAAAATTGCATGTTGAATGATTCCTTCCCTTCGCTCTCTGATTGGTATGGAAAACTCGGGCTACTTTCTCAACCAATCAGATGCAAAATTAAAACCACTAACGGCGAGGTAGCAGGGGGCCTGAAAATTTAGGGGGAGATGAAGGGAAGTTCTTTATCTACGAGTGCCTCTCCCACTGATTTATGTCTACACCTTTTTCTACAGTATTTCTTTGAATTTCTCGCTTTCTCCGTCAAAATCACGTTTAACAGAGCTTGGCGTTGCGGTTAGTGAATAATGAAAGAGTTAGTCATTCATAGTCAGTGTTAAAATAATAATAATAATGCAATAATAATAATGATAATAATAATAGTAGTAATAATATTAATTCAACAGTTGACATTCCGCGAGGTTGCTCTTCTTGTCCACTGTTTCCAGGTTAAATTGGAATTCAGAATGTTGTTTTTCTCTCTTTTTCCACCCTAGTTCCTTTTCGTTCATTCTTCGCGTTTTGATGTTTTTACTATCATAGTAAGCCATAATCAGCGGAACTCTTGGTTCTCTTTTTGCGTCGGTAACGGACAATGCAGAGAATTACAACAAAGTGTCTTCCGTCAAGTCTCCTTTAATGCTTCAGAAGGTAACTGCGATAGCGGAGCTTAATCAGCGATCCAACTGTTATTCGGTTTTACTATGCCTATTGTTTGCCTATGTCTATCTCTATTGAAACGAACCTGGATCGAAATGCTCGGGCTTGACTGCTGCTGTTCTTGATGATAAAAGACAAGTCCTCCAGAGCTGACTATAATACGCAAGGATATAAACAATACAACAACAACAACAAGATACAACAAAATTGGTTGCGAATAGTTTTAGCACCAATAGCAAATGAGATCCTGTATGCAAGAAAAAACTCGATTGACAGTATCTGCTCTACGGAGAAAATGTAGATATACGTAGCAAAAGAAGCATAAAGAACGCTTGGACATATAATTGTTAAATATTACTGATCTGGCGGTTTTGGAGACATACGATGTTGGCCGACAAACGAAGATGGATTATGTGCACATTGCGGGGACAACATAAAACGCTTACTGCTTGTCTTTCAATTGACAGTACCTTTTTGTTATCTTGTAAAAGATAAAGCAGGTGTCTGTGCCAATACGCGTCCAGCAGTTTTGGTTCCAGTTCAATAGATCTGCAATTAAAGCAAAAACAATTGGTAGGGCGAGTTCCAACTTTACGCAGTTAATCCAGTTACAGATTCAACCGTAAAACTGGCTTGAAATGGGCAAAAAATACGTTACTAAATATGACACAAAATGAAAAATCATTTCTCGCTGTTTCACCTGTTTAAGTCATCCCAAGCTTTCTTTAGATGTCCAAGCTGTAGATAAAAATAAAATTCGATAACTGAAACAACACTTTCCGAGTGTCCATTGTTAGTAAAAGTAATATCTATTGTAAATATGAAAATAGTCGCCTAAAAAACAACAAACTTAATGGGTTTACATCAAAGAAATTCATGATGCTGAGGATGTGGCGCGCAGGAAAATGCAGGACATTCTTGTGGCCACATCCACAGGAAATTACCTTACACAGGCAGGGAAACTAACAATGATCCAACAAGGTTTTTCTTAAACAAGTCAAGAAAGCACCTGGTTTCAAAAAAGCGGGAGAGAAGTGACCCTGTCGTTGGTTCATCTTTCGTTACTAGTCTACACCATATCTTTGGAGTAAATGTCAGAGGTTCCACGCCAACGTTGCCTCTAGTTTCATACCCGATTGGCGGGCACAAATGGTGGACCATGAAGTTGTAAGGACTGTGAAAGGTAGCTAGCTACCTTACGGCTTGCCTAGCTTAGAGAATGAGCATACATTTTTCCACATATTTTATCATTTCCAATTCGCTTTTATCTTCTCCATCCTCAACCATTATTGTCACCTTTTGATTTATTAAAACCTCCTCATTGCTGTTCTCCTTCAGCAAACAACAACTGAGCAGATTTCCTTCCAATTAACGGCAATTCTGTATAAACCAAAACCAGCCCGAAATATCTTAGGAACACGTACTAGTCTTTTTAACCCTTCTATTCCCACGAGTGACCAATACAGAATTTCTCCTTACAATATCAATACAATATCAACCAGATAAGTGATGAGAATAAAGAAAAATATCAATTTGGGGATAATTGGTTGATCCAAGAAAAAATTCTCTGAACTAACATCATAAGAATTGTATGGTTGACAGTAAGGAGAATTACAAATTGATCTGGGAGTTAAAGGGTTACAATGGAAATAAAAACCAAACAGATCATAGATCCCACTTGTGCTTTTCAATGCTCCAGTGCCTGGTCTATAGTACCTTTCGGTAAACAGCCCCTCGTCGGCATAAATGAATGGCTAAAGATTCTTTTCCCTGAGTTGTGTCTATCAAATCAGTAAGTCGGTCGACTTCCTCTTGAAGAGCCTGAGGTACCGAAGGATAAAGTACTTTGGTTAGAATCATGAGCAGGAAACTAGATGAACACGAGAGTATACAGTGTTAATAAAAATCAACTAAACCGGAGGGAAACAGAAATGGTTGGAGTTAGCTGATAGAAAATGACTGAAAAATTGGGTCAAGGGGAATCGGATCTTGTTCGAGCTACCAAGAAGTTCGAGTTGGAGTGAGCAAGGTCCTGCTGAATTTTTTAACTGGGATTTGTTTGACTCGCGCGATGGACTTCGCAGAAAAGCAGGGACTGCTCGTAAGCTAACATTCGTATAAACGCCAAACCTAAATGCCGCTTCGTACAGTTTTAAGTTTGTATGTGTGATCAGTTTGGAAGAAAACGCTACAGAGGTATACAGTTGAAATACGGATGAGGTAAGAAAGCTGTTTAGCGATACATGTTGCGCAACACCTTTTATTTTACGCAAACACCGTGCTGGCTTAGAAGTAGAGTATTCCATAAGAAAATCAAACAACCAATATATCCTTGACCAACAACAACAAATAGGTTTAAATAATAAAATCTCGAATTAGTCTTTGCTACGTTGCAACCACTACAATGTTCACTTAGAAATTACACCCTCTCGCCTTCTGCTCACCAAGTGGGAAACTGCACACCTATCCCTTCCCTGACCTAACAATAGTCAACTGATAACAAGTCAGGGTTAATATTTGGTTCAGTGGAGGGGTAAGTGCGCGGTTGCTCAGGTAGCGACACTGATCCAAAGAAGTGAACTGTCTAGGTGTAGTAGGCAAACAAAGAAGAAAACTTGGGACTGACTTACCTGGTACAATTCTTGGTCTGAGCTTTGAATCTCCGGCTCAATAACTTGTATATCGTCCAATATGTTATTGTCAATAACTACCGCTGAGGACTTGCTAAAAAAAAAAAAAACAAACTCAGTTTTATCCACAGTATTATAGTAAAAAAAATACTGCGTATTTTTGCCTTACCTTGGAGTTGGTGGTCTTGGAGATGCAAAACTCTGCAGATCAACTAGAGGAAAAAATAAAGACAAAAACAATTAAAAAGAGAATTTATCTGTTAACGAGGAAACTAATATATAATGTATCGAACCTTCTAGGGGAACTTTAGTTGATTCGCCGACAGTCCCTTAAATCAGCGGTCGGCAAATAACTAACGTAATACAGTCACAATTCAGCGCGGACGAACAGCCGAATGCAAATGATGACGTACACACGTCACGTGACAACCACTTTTTCTCGGTTTGTTTGGGTTTATCAGGGTTTCTTCGAAAAAATTAAGGCTCCGCTTGCGCGCCTGCTGCGTGCACTGGAGCTCCTTTATTAAAGAAGGGTCAGATTCTATCATGACAAATAAAAACTTAGGGAGTAACGTTAAATTTTGGGAAGCATATAATAACAAGAAGGATCTGAAAATCTCGACTTCCTGTACTCCGAGGAATACCTCGCCACTGCATGCCTGCTTTACCAAGATTACACCCTCTAGACAATAACCTTATCAATTCTCATAACTAGTCCATGGATATTACATTGAAATTGTGAGGAGAAGTTGGATGTTTAAAACCACCATCGGGAGTTTAACTACACCATCCAAGACGAGAACTAAATAATCGTAAGCTAACTGATGAACAATTTTTGATACAGTGTCGAAAGCAATCCGAGAATGCTTTGCTTTTAATCAACTGTGCTCTGTGATTGGTCCAGAAACCTCGCACCATCCTCCCGATCAATTAGATGCAAAACTAAAACCATTCGCATTTTCCCGCGCTTCAAGCAGCTTGTTGTTTTTACTTTGAGTTCTCATTGGCTAATGATAATGTAGACCTCTGTTATGATTGGTTGATTTTGTTTTTTCGAAACTTGATTGAAAACTGCTATCATAAAAATACATCAACCAACCGGTAACCAACTCACATTTTATTTCGGGCAATGCAGGTGTAGGAGGATAAACTTCGTCAAACCAAACATACCAGAGGCGTTCACGTACTTCATCAAAGTTTTCTATGTCTGATCTGTTGGGATAAATTTGTTCACTCCTAGTATCGTTTAGGTCCTAAAAACATCATTGCCAAAGCTTATCATTATTTTTACAGCATTAAACCCGGTAAGAGTACTCGTTCACTCTCTACACTGTATGCTAGCCGCTAGCAAGTAATTCACATCATTTTAGCGACGGCTCTCATACTATTAGCTTCGAGTCCTAGAGCCCGTTTCTCGAAAGTTCCCGTCACTTAACTGGCTTAAAGCCATATTTTAAAATCAAAATTTCAAGAACAGAAAAGCAGGTTCTTGTACCATAAAAAGTTTATTTGTTTCTTTAACTAACAGTTTTATAGTAGAATTTACAAAACTTTTTAAACCACGATCTTGAAATGAAAAAAGAACTGCTTTACGAGCCCGTTCAGTTACCGGGAAATTCGAGAAACAAGTGTCAGCTGGACGGAGATGGGCTCTGTAAAATTGAAGTGCTTGGCGATAGAAAAATTTTTTCTTTCCTAAACTAGAAACTTTCACTCGAAGCCTACCTCATTTCCCTTGACCTGTGCGCTGAGTATTACTATATCATCCTCCATTCTAACATACATACCCGGTGAACTCGTTTTTGAAAACGTTGTCGAAGTCAAAAAGTGCAGGTTCGCTATTAACTCTCATCAGTTCAGCGCTGTAGAAGAGAGTGGAAACACGGCTTGTTGGTCGGGTTTTTTTATTTCAAATTACCTTTTTAGAGCTTTTCCAATTTTCATGACATCCTTTTTTTCCCCAATAACAAAATTTGTTCGATTAAAAATTAAGACTGTGAAGAACCAGTTTTCTCTTTCAATTTATGTTACCTTGTACTGATGCTTTCCCTTCTTTCTGTAATTGTTTCCTCGGCCAAGAATCTCACTTCAGTGAATGACCTGCATCTGTTACAGATAAAAATATTTTGACTAAGCTCAAGTCTCTCTGACACCAGTCTGAGACGACTGGACCGAACCTGTTCAAACTGATGGACCGGTCACTATTCATCACCTGATTTCCCCCATAAGGCTCTGTAGTATTTAAATGACCCCCCCCCCCCCCCCCCCCCCCCGCCTCTCATTGGCAGTCCCAGTCCCCTCTTCAAACTCTGTTCCGGTCAACGGATTCCCCACCACCACCCCCTCCCTAAAAACCATGTGATCCCCTAATCGTCTGACCCTTCCCCTCCCCCCGGCGACAAATAATAACTGTACCATTAAAAATCATGAAGAACATTCAAAGCGTTGAATAGTAAAATACAAGAATATCATTCCCGCTGAGTATGTTTACTTCTAGTTCCTCATTTTGTGGAATTCCACGTTAAATACAGTACCTGACTAATTTCCTTGCCGGTTGATTCAAGAATTCTCTTATTGCCCGTTCTCTTTCCTAAATAAACGAACCGAACCAAATAAATAAACGCATACATAAATAAACCAATGAATAAAGAAACGAAGAATAAAAGAATTTCTAGGAGAGACATTCAAATTACCAAATTTAAAACAAGGCTATTACATACCAACTCTCTCTTAGTCTTTTTCTTCACTCTTCGTTGGTGAGGGATTCTCCTATAAATGAAATCGAAGAAATTCAAATTTACATATCACTTCATCTTGTCCTTTTGCATCCCATTCCACTCAGTCTTACCCTTCCTTCTCATAACACTCTATCCATTCCATTTCCCACCCATTTCTTGTCCTGTCTCCTCTTATTTCATCCAATCTACCTCTATCTATTGTAACTCATCTCATTTCGTTCTACTCGTTCTCATTCCCTCGAATCATACCAGACAATTTCATACCACTCATCCTGAAAAATTTTCATCAACTTCAACGAACTCGATATACCTGCGACTTGTTGGACCAGTTGTGCCTGTTTGTATCGACATACTATCACCTGCATCTGTCCTTCCCTCATCAGTATCCAACTCGTGAGACAAGTCTTAAAACAACAAAACAACAACCTAAAATTATGAACTGTGTACCAAAGTATGACTCATTCTGACAGCTATGAGAGTCCTCCCCGAACAACCCCATAAGCACTAGCGCGGTGACTATCGTTCCCAGGCTATCACTCTTAGCCAAAGTGAGCGAGAGAAACAAAGAAAATTTTGTCGTTCACATATACTGAAGCAACTTACCCAAAACAGTACTGTGCTCGGCGGGAGTAGTTTTCGTTGGGGCTGAGGATTCCTATAAAAAAGCGAAGAAATTTACAAGTTATACAATTTTGGTAGCAAAGTCAGTACTCCGCGACTTTCACTCGAAAAAAACTATGCAGCGACTAAGATACTTTTTGATGATTACATATGATTTCTTTCATAGCCTAAAAGGCTATAGACCAATTTTAAGGGACTAATCATTTATTACCTGGGGGGAGGGGGATGGAGGATTTTGGGGGACACATGGTTCTTAGGGAGAACGGAGTGGGGATCAGTCGTGCTAATAGAGTATAAAGGAGGGGGGGGGACTGTAGAAAATTGACTGCTAAGAGGGGGGGGTCATTTGAATACTGCAGAGCCTTGTTGCTATGAGTTTTTATTCCTTCGTTCCTTGATTAGCCATGAGAAATTGCGCCAACTCCTCCGCCAATCAGATGCTGGCAAAACGTAAACCAATCATGTCTTGGTCACTATCGATTTCTTACGCTTCAGGCAGTTGGCTCGTTTTTACCTTGAGCTATCCTAGGCTCCTTAAGATATATTCCTTCATTTTAGATGTCCTTTGTGATTTTTGTTTAGGTCTTGATTTCACGACCCTGAATTCATGAGTGCTCTAAATGGTTTTTGTGACCCGAACAGTCTTTTCACTAACAGACAACAATCAGAGGACTTCAAAACGTCATCATAACTTTTGAGATACCCAGTTTAAGATTTTTTTGGAAAATTAGAGAAAAACTTACGAAAATATCACGAACGCATATGAATACTTTTTATTTGTACCTGAGGAAGGATGCTGTCTTCAATTTCATGTTTTTCTTGCTGCTTTTCTTTGATGGCAGCGACTTGTTCACGCTGGTAATTCAACTGTATTCAAAGCACATCATTGGGAAAGGAAACAACAAGCAAATGTTAGAAAACCACAAAATAAATGAGTCATATTACGGTCTCTTAGAAGCCAGCGTAGCAGTCATGCAATCTCGATCCCAGAGTCCTCTCTATACTTTCTCGAGGGAGGAAGAGAGAGGGACGTGGGGATGAGGTTACATAGCAGTCTCCCAACCTCGTGAGAGCACTATTAAAGCGTACAGCTCTAGGTAATGTCTTCAGGCTCGCACGAAGACGGATTTACTTCCTCACACTCAGAAATCCATGCTACTTCGCCCCCGCATGATACTCCAGTCAATCGACCGATTCTTTGGGCGCCAACTATTTCTACTGACGTCTTCAGCTTAAGTTGTGTCAGGAAATACGAGGAAATTATTTGGGTCCTCAACCCTTAAACCCCTAGGAGTGACTAGCATCCAATTTCCCCTTACAGCATCACTTCCGATTAAAACATTACGGCCATGAGAAAAAACAGAAATGACCGCCAACTCAAGTAACTCTTGACTGTTAAAAAATTCTCCAATTTTACAACTACGTAAGACGATTTTGGATACGTCACAGTTGCTCTAAAGACATAATACCGCAATGCCTTCAAAACATTCCGCGCTGGGAAAACTTATTGTAAACTATTGATGCCCCTAAATTACACAAACAACACCTGGTTTTAGCTTAAAATGATTTCTACCTAAAAAATTCTGCGAGGAATGATCATAAACCTTGTGTATATGCGTATCTAAAGTTTACCTCATTCATGCTGACGTCATAACCCGCTTGAACTTTCAGATCCTTGTCGCCAATAGATAACAAAGGTTGTGACGCCGATCTATCAAAGACGAAATTAATAGCAGATTTCTGTCTTTCTTTACAAGATACATATTACTCATCTTATGTTACATGGTATAACGTTAAAATAGTAGCAAAACGGTCAAAAATGGTAAAACATGTAAAAAAAAGTCTCAATTTACGACGCCGCCTTGGACTAAAAAACTACACGATTCACATAGGACCCTTTAAAACGGCCTCTATCAACTTTGGGGCAATGAAAGACTTGTTTCTTAAGCTGCAGTTAAGTTTCTTTTTTGGAGGGATTGAATTTATTTAATGCCCATAAATAATTTCTCTCCTATATTTTGAGAAGTTCAGGTACGTTTAAACTTAAGGACCTTGCATCCTACGACATCCTTCTCGAAAGCTTTGAATCGAATTGTCAAATGATATCCAAGAATCAAAGCCAACGTACGAAAAAGTCTCCTTTACCCAAGATGCACGAACAGTAACACTTGCACTAAAATAGCGAACGTGTAGCCGTACCCTTCCCCCTTCCCCCTGCCCCCCCTCCCCCCCGCAAGGTGAAACGGAAGCGAGGGAACCTCCGTTTCACCTTGGGGGAAAGGGTACAGCTACACTTTGGCTAGCACTAAAAGCATTTCTTTAGTGGAAAGGTATATACCTAAAGTAAACGAATCCTGTCTCCTCTTTCTCTTCAGCTAAGTTCTCTTCTTGACCATTCCATTCCTCTTCTCTTTCGTCTGTGTCGTCTTCTTTATTGTCCTGTCTCCTCTTGTCAAGCACAGAGACAAATCTGCTTGGGCCGCCTGCTTGAACAGTTCATGATTAGAAAGTTTCAATCGAGGGTTGAAATATTACCTGTTGTGGTTTTACCATTCCTTACCTTGTTGGTCTGTCTCGCCCATTCCTCCAAGCTGCGCACTGAACCGATCAGCACGTCCCTCTCCTCCTAAATCCGTTTTGGGCCTGTGTTCCACTGATTCGGCCAAAAGCTTTCTTAGATCTGTCATGGACTCGTGTGTTCGGCTCAGAACTCTGTAAGAGGAAAAAAAATTACTGATACACATCTGTCACGTCTTGACTGTACTCAGTGGATGGTGATATATGCTGTTAACCCGAGGGAAAAGAAACTCAGACATGTTCCTTGGGTTGAATTGATGTCACGCAAGTCCTCGTCTCCTTCCTGGTGTTGTTCGGTGTTGTCACGCAATATACTCTGACGAGCGTTGCGTGACTGAAGCGACCCTTCCCGTAAAGAAGACTACCAACGGCCTGACCTCATTAAAAATGACAAATTTCAACAATATTTCATCATGCCACATTATTGAACGCGATCTTTTTGTGCCATCAGGTAGGGCTCCATGAAGCGTCAAGTGGCCAGCAATAACTTTCTAGTCGCACTGTTTTAGAAAAAAAGGCGACGAAGCCTGGATAGTATTGTATGCGAAAGGTTACCTCACAGTTACTTAACCCTTTCACTCCCAATATCTCATTAGTAATTCTCCTTACTGCCCGCCACACAATGCTTACGATGCTAGTTCCGAGTGGATGGTATTGGATCAAGTACCAATCCCATAATTGATACTTTTTTTTATTCCTATCACTTGTCTGCTTGATATTGTATTGATATTGTATTGGTATTGTATTGATATTGTATTGATATTGTATTGATATTGTATTGATATTGTATTGATATTGTATTGATATTGTATTGATATTGTATTGATATTGTATTGATTACGTCCATTAATATTACAGCTAGCCACATGACTGTGAAAGACAAATTGTTTTTACAAATTGGCGACTTTCGCTGTAAATTCAGTCGCCAAAAAACTTTTTTCTACTCGCAATAGCGACCAAAAGAGCCGCAGCTTGGAGCCCAGCAAGGAGATTCATGTCCATTTAGGAACCACTCGGGAAGAGGTGGGGGAGAGGGGAGGATTTTCGGGGGGATCTCATGGTATCCAGGCGGGAACGGAAGGGGAATCAATCGTCTCCAACAGAGTATAAAGGGAGACTATGGAAAACTGACGGCCAATTAACTGGCAGTGGGGGAGGGGAATCATTAGGTAAATTTTATCAGGACGCAACCAAAACCCTCCCCACCCCAGGCAATAAATAATGACTGCTCCCTTACTCAAAAATAAAACTATCACGACCTGCACAGGTCTCACTGATCTACTGGCTTGCACCTTATTAGAAAATCACGTGCTCAACAAACCCGTTTCAGTATCTGTGTTTTTTAATAACTCATCTAGCTCATCTCATCTTCCTCAAAAAGCCAAATCAGGCAAAAAAAAAAAAAAGGATTTATTTCTACATAGCCTGAAGATGGATTCTCAGCGGGAAAAAGGCAAAGCAAAGCCAGACCTGCCCCCCTCTCTCTTAACGGCCCCCAAAGATCCACCCACAAGGGTCGGAAGGGAGGGACATTCTAGGTACCTGTATCTTATGCCATCTGCTTCCATTTCAGCTTCAGTTTCATTGTTGTCTTCACTGTCCATGCCTGTGGCAGTGCGGACGTCAGCACCAAGGCTCTCCTGCAGTAAAGCTGCCCCCTGATACTCTGGGTACAGCTGTGACTTGATGGTGGCAGGCGCCAGGTTCATTTTAGGTGGAGCTGGTGTCCAGTAGAGTCTATACACGTAATGCACACAGTTGTTAACCCTTTTCACCCTAACATCAGTTTTAATATTTTCCATACTGTTCTCTATACATTTCCTAAGGTGCTGACAAGGAGAATTTGTTTAACAATCAAGGGTTTCTTTAGTTGGTGATTATTTCTATTGTTCTTGTGACCTTAATGGGTGATACAGGGATGATGTTGTATGGAAAGTTACATGCTACATGTAGTTATGCTCAGGAGTCAAAGGGTTAAGAAGTAAATTGAAATTTCATGACACTCCATGAACCAGCACTTAGGGTGTGATGAACTTTTCAAAACTCATTAGAAGCCCCAGCAGTTTCAAGACAGTGGTAAAATACATGTGCCTTAAAGTACAAGTGAAGGAAAAAGCCTCATTAAACCTGCTAAATATTAGATTTTTTTACAACAGTGTTCAGAGAAAAATGTCAAAATTCAAAATTAATCTGAGATGTTTGAAATTCTCTGTATCTTAAATTCAAGCACAATCAAGGAAAGAAAACAATTTGACCAAATATTTTAACCCTTTAACACCCAGAAGCGATTAACATCTCCCTGCAATATCCATACATCATCCAGCAAACGAATACAGGACTTTTCGCACAAAAGACTTTTCGCACAAGTCTTTTAGCACAAGTTTTGGACCGTTCGCACAATTCTTAGTGGTCATTTCGCACAATAATCATAAGTGAGAAACATCAATATAAAAGGTATACTGATTGATACTGATAAGACATTTCACCTTCACATGATCCAACCGCGAAAACGTAGACATTTATTTACGTAATAACTTCAACTAGACCGTGCGAACGGTCCAAAACTTGTGCTAAAAAACTTGTGCGAAAAGTCTTTTGTGCAAAATGACCGGTTACCCAGCAAACAGGTAATGAGAATACTCAAACATAACAAATAGAAGTTGTTGTCTTGATCTACCACCAAATTCTTGTAACTTATTTAAAAGGAAATATGTAGTAGCAGGAGGGGAGAATTGGCTATCAGATCTGGGAGTTAAAGGGTTAACAATGAGAAGATTTTTCAAAGGTCCTATGACATGAGTATTTTTAGAGGAAAATGAAAAATATCTACAGACCATTAACAAAAGCAGGATTTTTTAAATAGAGCTGAAATTCCCCAAAACTCAAATTGCTGTGAACAACCAGGTATAACACAAGGGATTTCACATCTATTGAAATTTAGATTATGTGACAAAACAAACAAATTTATATTGAAGAAACTTGTTCAGTACAGTCTACATACTTGGAAGTAAAATTTGTTAAAGTGTACATTACCAAGCTGTAAAACGTATTAAAGTTAACATAATTCAAATTACCTTGAGCTATCATCTTTCAGTTCTATTTTAACACCAACAATGTCAAGTGATTGCTCTTGTTCAACTGAGAACTGTAAAATAAAAAGAGAACAGATAATGCTGAATTCAATATAATTTTTTTTTGCAGAAAATATAAGGATATTCACAGAACCCAACAAGGATCACCAGAGAAAATGATGCACAAATACATGGTAGAAGGCCTAGAGTGTAGCACTGATACACAAGCAAAGTATGAATCATAAATGAAGTTCAAATGGACAACAGTGTGCAAACAGATCTAATGTTTAGATCATTCTCAGTCTTGTCCTTCAAAACCTAATTGTGAAAGTTTCAGCTGAATTTCTGTCATCACTTAGTTTTACATGTACACTGTTCATCAATTAGGCCGAGGAATGTGTTTTACTACTTTTACATGTAAGTGCATGATTAACATTTATATATTAAGCTCAGTAATGCACGCATTCTGATTAGTTCTCACTTATGATCTATTGGAGGACAGACATATAGATGATGTCATCATTAAAACTTTTTTAATTCTTTATGATATAAAACCAATAGATTCCAAGTTGCTGTGCATCTGTTCAGTAATACATCACAGAGGATGTCAAAATGTGGTAAGAACATCAGTGACACACTCGGCTGCCCCTCGTGTGCCACTTTTTTGTTCTTACCACATTTTGACGTCATCTGTGATCTATTACTGAACAGACGTACAGCAACTTGGAATCTATTTGTTGAATAGATTCCATGTTGTCATGCATATGTTCAGTAGATCTTGTAGATCACAGAAGACATCAAAATGTGGTAAGGAAAAATAAAGTGGCTCACAAGTCGCAACTGAGTATGCCACTAATGCACCTAACATATTTTGACATCTTCAGTGATCTACTATTCTACAGACCAATGGCTACAGTCAATATCTGTTTTTTTTTTATGATAAAAAAGCTTATGGTTACATCATCTTTGTGTCTGTCCTCCAGTACATGTAGATCATATGTAAGAAGCAATCAAAATGTGTGAACAATTCAGCTTATCATATCACGGAGGAGGAGTTTGTGCCTGCTAAAATACATTTAATTGAGCCATATTACAACTGTCTTGTAACTTTCAACCCAGCATAACTCAAGCCCTCAGTAGCTGTGTACATAACAGTGTAACCTCTTAGATCACTAGGAATCCAAGATGAGCAGTCACAACTCACCAAATCATCTGAAGCTCTCTTCAACCTATTGAAAGTCTCCTCATCATCACCAGCCACCAAAGCTTCATCCAGAATCCTTTGGGCCACAACTGACCACCGTCGCTGCTGAACAGCTCTACTTGGTTTCTCTGGCTCTTTTTCATCTCCAGTTTCCTCTTCCACAGTTTCAGCTAAATCAGTTTCTTCCTGTAAAACCTGTTTTGATAATAATCTTGACATTAGTATTAATTATCCTAGTAGTCTAAGAGTAAATTTGTATTACCTGTTAAGAGTTTGACACTAAATGCTATATTGTAATTCAAAGAACAATTAAAAACAGTTGTGAACAACAACTAATGCTGCAAAGGGCAACAATTTTTGTTGCATGGTGGTGACTGCAAAGTAATGATGAACAGCAAAAAAGCAGACATATTCAGAAGCACTACACGCATGTGTGCAAATCCATGACCTTTTGGCTCCACAGAATGTTCTTGGCTAAAAAACCACTTGTTTTGAACATTTTAGTATATTCCAACATGGTTTAAAATTCTCATGAGTCATGACATGTTTGGATACAAACATGTCGTGACTCAAGTATTCACAACTGTTCTTACATGTAATTGTTCTTCTCATTATTATTCAGTGACAAACTCTGCATATAACAAGCAGGTTATACAAAGTTTACAGATCAATATCAGTATCTGGGCAACTGCCCACCTACCCCTCCCCTCCCCTAACCCAACAACAGTCAATTGATAACAAGTTAGAGTTAATGTTGGGTTAGAGGAGGGGAGGGGTAGGTGGGCAGTTGCCCAGATACTGATATTGACCCAATTTTACTCTATAAAACTTTTAAACCCTGAGAGTGACCAGTATCTAATTTCTCCTTACAGTAATACAGCTGAGTCATTCATTAAGATCACAAGAGTAAAGGAAATGATCGATTGCCAACTAATTAAAGAAGCTTTGATTGCTAGACAAATTCTCCTTGTCAGTACTAAAGGAAATGTATAGAAAAGAGTATGGAGACTTTGGATACTGATGTTAGGGTGTAAAGGGTTAAACCCTTGTAGTACTATCAACTCATGGGTTTCAATAAAATTCAGTTACTGGTGGTCTACCACTGCCGGTGAGACCCCTAACTGTTGTCTGTTCAGCCTGCGAGCAAGCTCCTGGCTTGGGTTTTGCCTTATGGCAACTTTCTCTGGCATAGCCTCCTGTAACACCATTACTAAGCCACTTATTGCATAAGGTCCAATGAGGCACACCAAACACTGATTTCCACCCTGGCTTTTCCACCTGCTGTTAGACTATTATAGTTACATTCTTTTTGTTCTCCAAACCTCTCCCATTTGAAGATGATCTACATGTAGACAGCATTTAAAGTCTGTCTTTCATGTATTCATTTGAAAAGGGTTTAAAGGATGGAAGAAAGAAATGTTTGCTACATGTACTTATAAATTGAAGACATAATATTTTCAAAAGAGACAGAGTAAGATGGTAAAAAAAAACAACTGATTTTGTATCATGATTTATCATTCAAATGCATTTCTTCTATACAATGTAATTTGGGCTTTACTTGGTGCCAACTACAATGTATTGTAGGAAATCTTAAAAAAAAAAAACTGAGATAAGCATTAAGTAAGATTACTTTATTATAGACAGGTTAGTCTTGGGGGAAACCCAAACATTCTAATTGATTATTACTTGGACTGGATTTTGCTATATGGATGTGGAAATGGTCATAAGCCATGTATTTTTGTTCTCAAAATCCAGAAAATTTCAAATAAACAAGTTTAGTCTAAGTGCTATATAATTATAATCTGGTTATTAGCCTCACTTGCTTAAGCCATATTGAGAAATATTGGCCCTTATTATTGTACTGCCACAACCTCAGACCAATCTTTCCCTCTGCAGTCCTTTCTGTTAATCTTACCTCCATCGTCTTCTCTGTCAGTTTACGATATTTATTGCTTGTATGTTCATCTCTTGTCAATCTGCATAGATGAGGAGGTAGTTCCACTCTGGATGGCATGGTACAGAAATGGTGAATGTTGTGAGTCTTGACAGGCTAAAAAATTCAAAAATCAACAAATTATGCTCAACATTGGTGATTACAATTTGAATTTGAATTTTCTTTCAGGCAAATGGTACAAGTTAGTTACAAGACAGTGTATACTGTAGCTTGTATATACTAGAGAAAATGAGGACAAAAGTCTCTTCAAAATGACCAGCATATCATCAAAATTTCCAAACTGAGTTCATAAAGAGGTTGAGTACCAACATGTTTTATGTATGTATGGCAACTGGGAGACAATGACACTGATTTTAGGGTTGTCTGGCATGGATTAGCATCCCATCTCAGGTGAAGAGCAAATTAAAATCTTTCATCAATTGTTTTATGACTACTTCAGAAACTGGAATACTGTATTTCCTTGTATAAGTGCCCATGCCCTTGGCCACAATGTCAAACAAGTGCCCCCCCCCCAATCCCTCAAATAAGCACCCCACCCCCTCCTCCCTCACTTTAAATAGTAGAGTTACAAGGAAAACTTGTTTCTATTGCCATTTTGTTTATGACTTTTTAAGTTTCAACTAGAACAAAATCAGTACAGGAAAATATCAAGCCCTCCCCTTGATTGAGTTACCCTCACTCCTTTCAATAGGCAGCCATCCTTATGGCTGCAATATTTTAAATCAGTGCTGGGGTCCCTATTTGAGGAAATATGGAAAGCTTTGAAGTATTTCAAGGGTCACCCAGCTATGTACCACTGTATATTTGCCTTTAAACTTTCACCCTGAAACCCATTTACATGTACGTATGGCATTAGTATTCATTGCGAGTTTAACTGACAATATCTCAGTCTGTTTTTCAAAGGAGAGGGAACACAACTTTTTCTCGGCTGGACATTGTTCTTATTATTCTTCAATCTTAAACAATGTCGGTCAGTTTTTAAAAATGGACTTGCATGAATCAATATTCTTACACTTGAAACTACTTTCGGCCATGAAGAACCAAACAGAGAAAAGGATTAATGTGCACATTGTACATTTACCTTTTGGTCATTTTCTTTTTCTTTCTTTTCCTTCACTTCCCACGAATCCAAAAACATCACAGTTTTGTCTTGTTTAAGATCAATCCACTGTTTCTCTGAATCTGGAGCAGTTGCCAGGGCAGGAGACTGTTTAGACACCATTTCAAATTGTTGACCTTTAATGCTGATGATGTCTTCTGGAACCACTTCAGAAGGAAGTAATAGGCACTGGACAAAATGAAATTAAATTAAAATAGTAAAAAATTTAAGCAACTAAAGGGTTCTCTAAAAAAATTACTGACATAATTCACTCTTCCCATGACAATCTATTTCAATAACATACATGAAATCATCAGTTAAAGAATTGAAAATCAAAGAATAGCATGGGCAAGATTCATGCCTCCTTGTTAAGACTTGGTAAGTATACAACTAACTGTGATCATGATAAATGTATTTATCCCAAAAAGCCACACCAGTTACCTCCATGGCCTGTTCTGTTGTCATAGTTTTCTGACTGGCAAGTCCTTGTCTTGTCAAAGACATGAGAGATGGAGAACCTGAAAGAGCAAGAGTGGAAAGCAGATCTATTCAATAACACTATCACAGACCATAAAGAAATTCACATCCAGTAATTACAAGTATATTATCAAAGCCCACAGCTACATATCTACATACAGTACCACTGCTATCTATGGTACTACAAAACTACCTGACACATCCATCTCAGTCACTCCACTCCTCCTTGTTACTGTTCCTTTACTAGCAGTCTGCGGCAGTTCTGCTTCTTGTGGTTTGGCGTTAATTTCAGCAGGAGCACTCATCTCACTGTTCATTGCCATTCCCCTGTCTTTCTTTGGGCTTGTACTTGAGCTTTCCTTCTCTTCCACTGAGACCCTGGCTCTGTTTGTTTCATCACTCTGCAACTTAGTTTTAACAGCAGGGACAGGTGGTTTTGGCATCATGGGACTGGTAGATGTCAGCTGCTTTGGATCACGAGGAGACAAGCCTCGCAGAGCTCCCTGGATTGAGAAGCCGGTGCCTCCACGCTCAGCCATTGCTCGCAGCAACAAGCTTTCTCTGGCTGGAGAAGCTGCAGAAGCCATCTCCTGTAGCCTTTTTGCTTCATTTTCTGCTTCTTCAGTAGCTCTGATTAAGTTCAGTAAACCTACCTCTGGTTGACTGATTCTCCTTGTCAGCTCAAGAATCTCTGAGTGGATCCTATTAATTGGTGAATCTTCCTCAGAGTCAACAGCCATTTTCCCACTGGCTAGTGCTGGAGCAGAAATTGAGGTTTTTAAGACTTCAGAAGAGATAAAATGTTTTTCAGCTTTTTCATTCTCATCCTGTTCATCATTTTCACCATTGGATGTTTTATCAACTGGTTCAACATTTTCAACCAAATCAAAAGCAACTTGCACAGTTCTGGTTTCATCTTTCACATCAGCTTCTTGGTCATGTGTATCACCAGATGCATCTTCTGACCTTGTATGGACCTTCACCTCTTTCGGCCTGTCATCCTTATCTGAATTGGCCTCAGTTACAAGAGCTGAGTCAGCCTCACCCTCATCTTCATCCCCAGTAGGTGACCCTGCCTTCAAAATTTCCTTGTCCCTGATTAAATGTAAAAACAGATGTATCAATTGAAGCAAAAAAAAGTGAAGCCTTTATACAGGCCCAAGTGGCCCATGGGGCTGGCGCTTAGCTCCAGTTTCCTTAGCATGAAGCAGCTAGGAGTATTGCTACTCCCCCTGGATGGGATGCTAGTCCATCGCAGGATTACCCCCAGCATATTTGCTGGTACCCATTTGTACACCTGGGTGAAGAGAAGCACTGTGAGAGTGAAGTGTCTTGCCTAAGAACACAACGACCCTGGCCAGGGCTTGAACCTGGACCACTCGATCTGGAGTTAAGCGCACTAACCATGAGGCCAGCGCACCTCCACAATTGAAGCAAAGATGTACCTTAATTTGCTTTTGCCCCTTTTACCCCTGAAAGTGACTAGCATCTAATTTCTCCTTACAATATCACCACTGAATCACACATTAATGTCATGAGAATAAAGGAAATGATCACCAAATAAATTTTGTGTGTGATTTTTGTTTAAATCAACTAAGATGGTTCAGATGTTTTTATTTCTGCTTGGCAGTTTGTTAAAAAAAAATTACTTATGCAAAAAGTTTTCAATTTCCTAGTAAGGATTACATGTACATGTACTGTAGGTATCTCTTTGACTGCTTCAGAGCTAACAGAAAAAAAAATTACTTTCACACCTGATGTGGGAAAAGATTAACAAAGAATGCTACAAGGGGAGTTGATTTGTTGATTGCTCACACAGGGTTTAATTCATTGAGAAGCATGACTCATTTTCCTTTATTTTTTAATTGAATTAATAATGATAATTGAACTGAGTGGAGTGAGATTTTAGCTGAAATCATACACATGATTTCAAAATTGAACGAGTGCGCAGCATGAGTTTTATTTGGAATCACAATTATGATTTTAGATCAAAATTGCACAACACGAGGTTCCATTACCACTTTATTACATTCATTTTGAAATTACCCAAATACAAGACTTGGTCAGTTCAAATATTCTATTGATGCAGCACTGAGCCAGTTTGAAATTAAATTAATCCATTTCTGGGAGGGAAAAAGTAAGAGTTTGGGAAACAAAAGTTGCAAAATTTGCCACATGATACTCTTTGTCTTTCATTTTCCTGCAATTTGATTGGTTACTTTAAACAAGCCTTGAGATCAGATCGGTTGCTTTGTTTTTAGTGTAACCTTCTCATTGGCTTTACAGGGACCACTAGTGTACACTAGTACAATTGTACTTGCTATTAACTTCTGAACTCGCCAATCAGCGTGCACCAAAAGTGCTATTCACCTGTTTATTGTAATTATACTTAAAGCTAATGCTGATAGTCTTAATTGCTCTGACGAAGGGCTGAAACCCGAAATGTCAGCTTTTTTACCCTTTACGATGGCCAATTTGCATTTTTAACACAGTTGTTAACACTAAATTACTGGCTATACTCTCCCACCAATGCAGCACCACAGTTTCCTAAGAAACTTATCCCCTTTATTCATTTGTCTTAAAAGACTGTTGACCAGCCTAACAAGTTTCAACCTACTTGGCGGATGAAGCACCACTTCTCACTGATCCTTGCTGTGATGCCCTGGAGGTTGTCCGTTGTTTCTGTGCTGGGCGTGGTGTAAGCTGGACTGCTACTGTAGTGCTTTGAGAGCCTATTATTGCTGGTTTCTTGGTTTGAATGTTCCTGTGTTGAGCCTGAGGTGCAGGACTTCTAGGACTTCTGGATCTAGCTGATTGTGGTTTTTTCGCTGATTTCTGAAAAAAGGTTAAGTCCACACTTGTAATATTGCCCCCTGCCTGTTACAGTATCATGAAATGATTGCAAAAAGATATGGCTAGGTTGTGAAATTAGCTTCGACAGAAACATTTATTATAATTATGAGTATGGGATTTATACAATTATGTTCATATTTTCATGGGCAATGACAGTTCAGACATGAAATTTGAATCATTTTTAATTCAATCTGAAATTTTGAATTGATTAATATGCTGCATTTGCTTCATTCAAGATTGGTCTTGTGAACTAATTGGCTGGTGAATTGGGCCTACTTAAACCCTTAAACTACCATGTGTGACCAAAACATAATCTCCTCACACTATCAATGCAATATCAACCAGACAATGATGAGACTAACTAAAATATAAATTAGGGGATTATCAGTTGACCTAAAACCAAATTCTCCACACAAACATGATAATAATTGCATGGCAAATAGTAAGGAGAATTACTGACGAGATCTTGTGAGTAAAACGATTGAATTTAACTTAGTGTACACATGCAGCTATTTTCACGTTACCTTTTCCCTTGTTTTTATCACTGCACTAGTCTCTTCTTGAAGTCCCCTTCCATACATTACAACATTCAAGTCGACTTTCGATCGGATAGAAGCTACACCAGTAGATCGGGAGAACAAATCAGAACTCCTCAAATCAGCACCAAAGCAGTCCACTCCAGCAACAGCCTTTGCATGTATCTCCGAGTCTGGCGTTGATCTCAGCTCCGGAGCTAAATCAATTGAAGGACTTGGTGGAGGAACCTCACCATCTGATTCGTTGTTTTCTATACCTGTCACTTTTTGCTTGCTTTTCGCGGGACGACTCCGTTTTATTGGTTGGTTTTTAAGCGCCAAAGCAGTTTTCAAACTGCTCTCAAGAAATTTGGACTTGTCGTTCGGATTCAAGCCTGAGAATTCATTCTTGGATTGTTTTGTTAGCTTCTGAAGCTCTAGTTTCATACGAAGCTCTTCCCTCTTGAACGACTTTCCACCAAATGACATTTCGTTTCAAGTAACTTACTGATGGTCAACTGAATACCTCGAGTCCGTCTTTGATTCCTCCATCCCACCCTTTCACGTTAAACAAAAGAAAAACAACCAGCTGTAGTTCAAAACTACCAGTTCAACTTTCCATGATTCAACTTTCTACAATTCGGCTTCAAAGAAAGAGCAACCATCATATGGCAAGTTAAGTCGGGAGAGAAAACACAGACGCCATCTTTGTTTGGGTCTGTTACCTTGGACCCAGTTCTTCACGCACAAAAAGGGGACGACATAGCTACTCCAGGGGAGCAGAGTAAGTAGGCCTTTTGGACGTGTTCCTGGATTTCTCGGAAATGCTGATATCGAAAGTAATCTTTCCAGTGTGAGTTCCTTTCTTTCTCGGAAAAATCTGAAGGGATGTCAAAGGTCAGCTCATTTCAATTGTGCAACTATGCAAAGATGTGTCATCGGCAAAGAATTTAACAAAAGATGCGCTAGAAGCAATTTTCGCTATTTAGAGTGATGAACGAGTGATTAAAGACTTCAAGCTTCTTGCAAATGGCGGTAAGTTAATATCAAATTCGTTAGCATTATTGACGTATTTCTAGTGAAATGATCTATTCTCTTAGGTCTTAATTATGTACGTACACATCAAGTAATTTTACGTTCCTTGAATTTAATTTCCCACCATGACAAATAAGCAGTTTTGCGATTCAGGTTATCTGTAATGTTTACCATATCAATTTTTGTTAAAGTCAGTGGGATAACCAACTCAATTGATGCTACATAACAGGACAAGATACTTGATTTATATCTTCTTTTTTATCATTTCTTTTAAATTGACAGAGGAAAAAGTCACACCGAAAATATTCTCAGTATCACTATGTAAATCTAATTTGCAACTTCATCAGATCTAAAGTGGTCTAAAAAGACAACACATCTTCATTAAAATCCATTACAACTTTATATTCCTCAACAAAAATATTTTCATTTACCGAAATGTGCAGCATTTTTGACAAGCTCGTAAAAAAACGGTTTAAAGCTACGAAGACTCCAAATTTAAGCAACTAATGACTCATTTGTGTGTTTTAAACTTTTTCCTGTTTTGGTCGCATACCTTGAAAATTTTACAGTTACTATATGGTGACTGTCTATGTTAAAATTGAATGGTGAAAACGTTTTCGATTTTATCTGTGTCACCGTTCAAAACATTACTCTGTGATATTTAGTCCTTAAAAACTATTTTTTTCAAGTCTACATATATGTTTTGGGGTGTTTCTCCGCGTACAGTTTACTGTCAACAATCTATGACGTCAAGTGGTAATAGAACACGAGCTTCCTCCAAAAGAAAACACTAAGACTCAAAAACGGAAGGTTTCAAACGCCGATTTTAACTTGTATGATAAACAGAGATTATGTTAATGATCAAGGAAATTATTCAAACAAGCGCTGTAGGTTATTTGGTAACTTGGATTCTGCATTTGTCACATTATAAAAAATAGAGAGTATGTTGGTGTTCGTAATGCTGCCACACCCTAAAAAAAGATATTTTTACGTCTGGATTGAAACCGGCCATAACAGATGAAACAAATGCACCGTCAACAACAACATAATACGTATTCACTGTTCGAATGACCACCGATGACTAGGATAGACACGACTATGAATGGAATGTCTGACGATCAAGCTGAATGGATAAGTAAGAAAAACCAACATAGATTGGAATTTCGCTAATTTTCCAAATTTATTTCCTTTGGCCAAAAATAGAACGAATTAAAAAAATTACTGATGTCAAGATCTGTGAATGGTTTACATACCACTTGGCTTTTTCGAAACCTTTTGACTGAAGAAATCTTTATCCAACTTTCATGCCGTGCCCTCTAAAACTTCTCACCCCCTCTGAAACTAGCCCCTCCCTTAAAAATATCACAAACTAAACGGGCAAATGTAAGTCTCAGATATTGATCAGTGTATTTAAAGTGACGAGAATTTGATTCTCTATCAAAGTAGGAACCGGGATGTCAACTGTTTCGTTCCGTTTTATTTCAACATAAGCTATCATTTCAAGGAGAAATTAGAATTTGATCTGTTGTTGAACCGTTCAACTTTGAACTTGGGCCAATGAGCATCTAGCTAGTCTCGTGATCCTCACGTCGTCCGTCGATAGATAGTCACCCCCTCTGCATCTTGTGGACGAATATGTTTGCACGACCGGGCAGGTCTATGTAGTGGACCGATCAGTCGGTTAATGAGCCAGAGGAAGCCGTAGTTAGGTTAAAATGCGGCGACGTATCCTTTACCCATTCAAGGTAAGTTAGTGCATACTTCAATGGCGACGGATCCGGCCACTGATTAGTAAGAAATGATTTGCTTAGTTCGGCTACGACGACCGAAGCAAGCGCTCCCGCTTCACTTTCAAAAGTTTCATGTGTTCGTCAAGATGGCTGACATCTCGTTGAGAATTCTGCAAAGCAGTTAAGGAGCAATAAGTTGATTTTTTTTAGTTTCCATGAAATTGAGTTAAATGACAAGAGTAAACAAAGCATGTTCCCCGAAATACAAATCATTAAAACGCTTCTCGGGTTGTTGTTCAAAACATCCGGCTTTCCTGCAAACCAAGGTTATTTCAACTACATCTTTCTAAAATGAAACAACACAGTGAAGCAAAAGATGTAGGCCTTCGTAACTCTCAGAGGAAGAGTGATGAATGAGGAGTAAAGTCATCAATTTACCAATTTGCACCGACTGAACGGAAATCCATTTACTGCCCGCCAAAGTTTGATCTACACTGTGTTTGTCAAATGTTATTTAACTAAACAGGGATTACTCTAGCATTCAAAACTTACGGTTACCCCATCATTATAACTACATGTAACCAAAATATAACTTCAAGAGGGTCCATGAATACTATAAAAATAAAACGTGATACATCGTTGTTGTCATTTCGAATATCTTTCCAGTCGGGAGCGTTTCACCCCAAATAAGCTACACAGCTATTACGGCGTTTTCTCCAAAACCATCGCTACCATTTTCGTAACTAAAATGACGAAATAAATTTCGTTAGAGGGAAGATCGTCGATGACAGTTAAAATTGGTTTCAGTGAAGCAATAACGGTAGGTTAGCGGTGTTTTTTTAACAAGAAACATCACTGCCACATACGTACGTGGACTTGAAACTGAGCTGTAATCGAGCGTGGGAGAAAATTTGATATTATTAATTACCATTAAGGCGTAGGAGGCTATAAGACAAGTGTTTTTCGATCGTCTAACAACTACGTATAGGAATAATTTTCTTGTATTCCGATGTACTGAAGAGGTATTGCAAGTTCTGCATCAAGACTGTGAACCTCATGCAGTCCTCCACTGGAATTTATAGCCAAACTTCAATATGCTTGCTTGGTCAGTGGAGTTTCAATCAAGTAGCTGAAATGGCAGCTGGAAGCCGGACTCATATTTCTACAATATTTGCCTTTTTGATTGAATATTTGAATTCAAAATTCGAATTTTATGATCGTTGCACGCCAGAAGGCGACCTGTTTATGGTCTCTAGTTTGAATGAGATAACGAAGACACAGGAGAACTTTAAAGGTGAACACTATTTTAAAGCTTTCTTACAAACAATTGTGATTGTTATTTGATTTGCTTATTGCTATCTTCAGGTCTCTCTAAACTCACCTCCCTGAAAATATGTTTAACGTTTTAAAAAAGTTCTCTCGAGTCCTACGATCCAAAGGGATAGCTTTCCATGCTTGTGCTGAGCCCCTGAAACCCTTAATACATCGGTCGAACCTCACAGATCGATGATATCTCATTTATTAAGCTCACAGTTACAAGGTTTCCTGTGTACTTGAGTTGCACGTATCTTCTCAAAATCAGTGATCATTTGGGTGAATTTTTCACTTATTCAGGAAAGGTTAGTATTACAACTGGTTGGTTTGTCGATCATTTGGATATTCGTTTGGGGATTTTATCGATCCAAACGATAGCCAGCTAGAGCATGTGCATCTTCGCAATGAGATCCATTCTGCATTGAAAACCTTATTGACTGTTACCTATTAAGAATCGCATGCAAAGTGTTCAATCTTAAACAGGAACTTTTTATGTTTATATTGTTTCTCAACAAGGATATATCTTTTTACGTTATTGTTGAAGCTACATTGAAACTTGTACTTTTTATATATATGTGTATATATATACATAGATTAAACTTTGGTTGCGTAAACTTGAGTTAAAAGGAGAGCAGTGTGCAGGAGTTTCAGTACAAGCTGGTGACTGTTCATAAGCCGCCTAGAAGGCTTCTTACCACCCTCTGAATGTGAAGATTTTATTCATTACATTTTTATGGCCCCTTTTCGTGCCACAACGTGCTCACTTTTCCACTATCAGTAGCCATTTAAACCCTGAATAACGTAAATTGCTATAGACCTTCAATAATTAAAATGCGATGTATAATCGTCGAGAAATGATCCAGCTGTGCAAAGGAATTGATTTTTTTAGTTCTCATGCTTGTAAGAGTTTTTTTTTTAATAAGAAACTGCCACGTTTAAGGATAATTTCCAAGAAGGCATGAAAGGTGTTGATCGAGGCTGCGAATGAATGAGAGGAATTAAGAGATTTCTTCAAGCTATAAACCTGTGCAGTTCCAAGATCTTAGGTTTCGATCCAACAGCAGAACCAGCAGGGGGAAGGGGTCCCCCTTCTACATTCTTTGTATTTAGGCGAATCTTTGCTTCAAAAGACGAGTTTAAACATTTATAGAGATTTGTGTCGGTGGAGTTTTAACCAGGATCAATAAAACAAACATCCTCTGATACTGAACCGAACCTTTCGAGGTACTCAATAAGACAGTTGATTTCTTTACAAATTTCTTTCTTCAATTAAATTCTTCCATTTAATTGCACCTTCTTGTAAGTAATAGACAGCTTTTAACATTCAAAACGGTATTTTAACTAATCCCTTCGACATAATCTGTTTCCTTGCCATAAACTTGAGTCGCGGGATTTTGACTATCTCGGTCAGTTACTGAAAAGAAGCTCTGCATGGCTTTATGGGGCTCACACTTACTAGATTTTTCGTCAACTTATGTCACAATTCCTCTTCAACATCAGTGAAAATGTAAGTGAACATTTCATTCATAGATTATGAAAAGCAAGTGGTCCAAGTGACAGTTTTTGAGCAATACAGAACCACCTCTACAAATTCTTACCCTGAGGCTCGCGAGCCTAAAAACAATGGCGAATTACACCTCCAAAGACCACAAGAAGAGCTTGAATTCTGATCAGATAAATATCGCCCCTAAAACTCAATTGATTATTCCATCTTTACGGCGAACAAAGAATTCGTCTTGGTTAAGGAAATTTCATCATTTGTTTTTAAACAAAGATGATATGATTTTTTTATCATGCAGACTAGCTCACAGCCCTTGAAAAGTCTCGTTGTCCGCTACGAGTATGGTCTGCCTTTTTCCAAAGGAAACATCTTCACTCAGCTAGGATTCTCAGTGCCGTCTCAATATAATTCACTTTCATTATTTGTGCTAAAGGAGCTTTAAACGCACCCAGCCTTTAAAACAGAACACTCGTAGTCACTGATAGCATTCAAAGCTGAATTATCAGCCAGTATTGCGTTCCTCGATACAATCTTTTTGCGGTCAACAAGTTTGAATCGATTGACAATAGCGGTAAACGACCTTTAATGGTACAAAGTTATCTTGAACCATTCACAGCGATTTTCATTCTTCTATAATCACTAACGAAAGGGGAATTAGTTCGGGTTCTTGTTCTTAAATACTAATAATAGTAACAATTATAACTGAAATTTTGCACTTAGTCAGCCTGAAACTATACTACGTGAAAACTTCGTTTTTTTTCTTCATCCCTTCAGTGAAAGGGGTTTTTCCTTCGTCACAGAAATTTCAACAAAATCTGTTCATTGCCTTGACGAGGAGACAACAAAAACTTGCAGCCAGAGGAAATATTGTTTGTACCAAGTTCAAAATTTTGTAGGAATTTTCCTAGAATGATTCTATAACTACTTAATCATTTAACATAACAAACATAGAAACGAAAAAGTTTAATTCTCAGGACCAGTTTTTTTTTTTAGTTTTAGTCTATCGTAATGCAAAATTAGAGCAAGCTAAAGGGAAATTTTCGAACCATTCTTTACAACAGCAATCTGCCTAACTTTAATTGAATAATTTTCCACCCCAAATGAAGGATTGTTTGTAATTAATCAGTTTTAAGACTTTCTCAAAACCATTATTTATTGCCTAACACATCAGTCGAAAATGAAACTTTTTTCTCTAGCGAGGGCAGATAATTTTCCATTTTCTGGGCCGTTAAAGCTGAAAATGAACGCATCTGTAAACAAATATATATGGTTCAAATGTGCTTCTGTTTTTCCTTGGCGAATGTTCCTTGAAAGCTAGACTTTTTTTCTGAATCTTACGTTTAAATGCGAAGTAGTAACCTGAATGGTGTGAGGAATTCGATGGTATCATAGGTTCAAGATTCAATTTTTCCGTTACGATAGTTTGCGTCTGTAACATCTTAATCTTTCCGGCTCGTATCGCTTGGTTTGTATTTATATTTATTTCAATTTGTTTTTCAGTCATTTTATTTCGAGACCATTTCGCCCGAGTCAGCCAGCTCGCCCTTAGTCAAGTATGCTATGTTTCAAATTTATACAGATGCACATAAAACATGCCTTAACCTTTTCTTTTCTCAGAGTCTTTCCACTCCGTAGTAAAAGTAATTTGGGGCTAATTGAACTCAAACCATAAACACTGAGAGCGTATTTAAATTTTTAGAGTTTATTCTAGAACGTCGTCGTCAGTCCAATATGGCATCACGTGGTCTTAAGACTTCCTGTGTTCCAGGTTTCTATAGCTGGAGAAATCTAACAAACAAACCAACCTGCCTTGTGCGGCTGAAAATTAGCAGGTTTTTTTTCTTTAAAGTTGTTAGATTGACTTTTGTTGTCGACTGTCAGCCTAGTTTCGTCGCAAGATTGGTAAGGTATGGATTTAGTTTGCCGCCCTTTCTTTCCATTAAGGCTTAATATCTGATTCAGTGCTGAAACAAGGTGAAGGGTCACCAGTTTCGTCATGATGTTATTCACTTTCAAATCAGCAAACATATACGAAAAATCACATGCATTGCTTGGGCTGACTTAAGTCTCAAAGAGGAAGTTTGTAAGTGCATGTTATCTAAATTTGACACAGTAAAACGCGGGAAAACGATGTTTCTGCACAACCAAAACAAATGGATCGCCCACGCGATGCCCATGGCTTTGAGCTTAAGAGGTTAGT